ATTACAAAACAGAAATTACAGTAAATAACAAAATAAAAATCCATATATTACCTTAATTTCATGCACTTATCATTCTTTTATGTCCAAATGGGGTTTTGTGTCAACTGTTTTTCATGTATACAATTCTATCAGCTAATTGTCATCACACAAAAATTAAGTGTCAGTCTATAAAAAAAACAAAACCAAATGATTATTGACAAAAAGTTATAAATTTACTTTGACAGTATACTTATGAATTGATAGATCCCTACTTTGACCTTTTACATGTAGATCTATTTGAATAACAATAGATTAAATCTCAAATATTGACAGGTGTTCCTTTGTTAACAAATACGTTGTGGTGAAATACCTATTGTTATCTAGTCTACTAATCTGATAAATCGAATTAGGGAGATTAAGGTCATGTAGGGATCTTGGCTAATAAAATGACAACACAAATAAAACAAAAAGTTTGACAGAATTTCATACAATTTATATATCAATTGAATCCCAAAGTACGAGTTAAATGAGGGCGAATCAGACTACATTAATTAACTGGTTTAGAACTGAGATAATTGAATATCATGAAAATATAATTATATTCCAAATGTAACTAATAATTTTTCAGTTATTATACTATGCATGCAGTAAGTTTAATACTAATCTACCTTCAAAAATATCACTTACTTTTCACTATGCGAGTTGTCTTCTATGATGTGCATAATGTCCTTCCTTTGTCTTTGTTTGAATTTGAAAACAAATTGTTGTTGTAGCCTTGTTTTGAAATTCATCAAGTTTCCATTATTTTTTTCAATTTATTTAATTGAAATACTAATATTGTTCCTTTTTATGGTCTAGTATAACAACAATTTAAAAAAAAATACAATGGATGTGAAAAAAAATGAATAACAAAATTCGAATGATTATATTGACCTGAAATTAGAGCCACCTATCGGGTTTATAAATCAGAACAAAGGGAAGTAACACAATCAAGACTACTATGTTGGATTACACTGAAATCCGACGTCGTATCGACGTAATTCTAACACGTTGATACGACGTCGCAAATACAACATTGTTTCAACGTTGTGTTTAGGATTTTGACGTCGTGACATAAATCTAACTTAGATCCAACGTTGAAACAACGTCAGGTGTTTGCTGGGCCACACCTTTCCCAAACTAGTGTGACTGAAAGCATTTTTTCATTCCTATTAAAATTCTTTCTCTTTCTCCCTTTTTAGCTCACCTGAGCACAAAGTGCTCAAGGGTGAGCTTTTGTCATCACTCTGCGTCCGTGGTGCGTCATGTGTCGTGCGTCATGCTTCCTTCAAAAAATAGCGTCAAACTTTTCAAACAACATCTCCTCCTAAACCACATGGCCAATTGCAACCAAACTTTACAGAAATGATCCTTAGGTGGACCCCTTTCAAAGTTGTTCAAAAATTTAAATTCCATTAAAAACTCTGGTTGCCATGGCAACCATTAGGAAAAATTTAAAAAATCTTCCTTTAAAAAACCCTAAGAGCTAGAGCTTAGATATTTGGCATGAAACAACTTCTAATGAGTGTCTACCAAGTTTGTTCAAATCAAAGCCCTGGGGTCAAAATTGGCCCCGCCCCAGGGGGTCATTGATTTTCCCTATATGCATATAGTAAAAACTTAAAAAATCTTCTTTTAAAGAACTCAAAGAGCTAGAGCTAAGATATTTAGCATGAAACATGTTCTAATGGGTGTCTACCAAGTTTGTTCAAATAAAAGCCCTGGGGTCAAAATTGGCCCTGCCCCGGGGGTCATAGATTTTCCTTATTTATGTGTATAGCAAAAACTTAAAAAATCTTCTTTGAAAAAACCCAAATAGCTAGAGTTTAGATATTAAGCATGAAACATCTTCTAGTGAGTGTCTACCAAGTTTGTTCAAATAAAAGCCCTGGGGTCAAAATTGGCCCCGCCCCAGGGGGTCTTTGATTTTCCCTTTATGCATATAGTAAAAACTTAAAAAATCTTCTTTTAAAGAACCAAAGAGCTAGAGCTAAGATATTTAGCATGAAACATTTTCTAATGAGTGTCTACCAAGTTTGTTCAAATAAAAGCCCTACGGTCAAAATTGGCCCCGCCCCAGGGGGTCATTAATTTTCCCTATTTGCATATACATTTGTAGTAAAAACTTAAAAAATCTTCTTTTAAAGAACTCAAAGAGCTAGAGCTAAGATATTTAGCATGACACATTTTCTAATGGGTGTCTACCAAGTTTGTTCAAATAAAAGCCCTGGGGTCAAAATTGGCCCTGCCCCGGGGGTCATTGATTTTCCTTATATGCATATAGCAAAAACTTAAAAAATCTTTTTTGAAAAAACCCAAATAGCTGGAGTTTAGATATTAAGCATAAAACATCTTCTAGTGAGTGTCTACAAAGTTTGTTCAAATAAAAGCCCTGGGGTCAAAACTGGCCCCGCCCCGGGTGTCATTGATTTTCCTTATATGTGTATAGCAAAAACTTAAAATCTTCTTTGACACTAACAATCTACATGAACCAAATCAATCTGCATACAGGAAATTTCATTCCACAGAAACTGCACTTATCAAAGTGCAAAATGACATTCTCCAATCTCTTGACAAAGGCGAAGTTACAATATTAGTAATGCTCGATTTATCTGCTGCCTTTGACACGATTGACCACAACACTCTTCTTAATCGACTCAAATGTGACTTTGGTTTTACTGGAAAAGTGCTCGCTTGGTGTAGATCTTATCTCAGTGGTCGCTATCAGACTGTTTGTATTGATGGAGAACTATCTGACCCTGTGCATATGACATACAGTGTCCCTCACGGCTCTGTATTAGGACCAAAATTTTACATACTTTTCACAAAACCTGTTGGCGAAATTTGTCGAAAACATGGTCTGCAATGTCACTTCTATGCTGACGATTCTCAAATATACATTTCTTTCAAACCGTTGGACAACACCAAAACTGAACTTGTACTTGATTCTGTCTCAAACTGCTTAAAAGAAATAACATTCTGGATGAACAGCAACATTCTCAAACTGAATTCAGACAAAACAGAACTTATAGTCTTTTCGTCGGGTAGCAATACAGACTCAGTGAAAAATATAACTGTCAATGTGGACCAAGTTGAAATCAAACAGTCATCAAGTGTAAGGAATTTGGGTGCATTCCTTGATTCAAGGGTTAATATGGAACATCATGTTAGCTCCGTGTGCAGATCTTCGTATGCCCAAATAAGTAAGATAGGACGTATTCGAAAATATATCAACGAAGAAGCTACAAAAACACTCGTTAACTCTCTCATGACATCAAGACTGGATTATTGCAATGCTCTTCTATATGGTATACCTCAACAAACCATGAAAAAACTTCAACTTGTTCAAAATACTTCAGCCCGTGTGATTAAACGTACATCTAGGAAAGATCATATTACACCAGTGATGAAAGATCTTCATTGGCTGCCAATCGAATATAGAGTGAATTACAAGATCTTATTACATACTTTCAAGTCACTGAAACAACAATCTCCATCATATATGCAGGAAATGATTCAAGTTTATTCCACTTCCCGAAATCTGCGCTCTTCAAATGCACCTGTACGATTAGTGCAACCAAAAACTAAACTGAAATTTGGTGAAAGGAGTTTTTCGGCATCAGCTCCTAAGCTATGGAATTCACTACCAAGTCATCTAAAAAACTGTAACACAGTAGAAAGTTTCAAAAAACATCTTAAAACACACTACTTCAATTTAGCTTATGGAAAATAATCAGTGACTGTTATGAATGAATTTTATAAACAGTGAATACGAAGTATCTGTTATTTGAATATTAGTTTTATTAAAAAGTTTTATTTTTTTTTAAACAAACAATTTTTAAATCAATTTAGTATTTCTATTGTTTTATAATGATGATTTAGCAAGATCTTATCTATTATTATATATTGAAGACAATTTTAATGTATGACAATAATATTGTAAAGTGAGTTTTAAGGATCTTTAAGTTATATTGTATTAATATGTAAAAATAATTCCATAATTTATACTTTTAATTAGCTAATGCAAAATATTTTTAATGTTCATAATCCTGTTCATTTATATTGTTTTAGACATATATGATTGATGTAAAGCGCCTTTGAACATTTTAATGAAAAGGGCGCTATATAAATGTGGTATTTATTATTATTATTTGAAAAAACCCAAATAGCTGGAGTTTAGATATTAAGCATGAAACATCTACTAGTGAGTGTCTACAAAGTTTGTTCAAATAAAAGCCCTGGGGTCAAAACTGGCCCCGTCCCAGGGGTGTCATTGTTTTAAACTATATGTGTATATTAAAAACTTAAAAAATCTTCTTTTAAAAAACCCAATGAGCTAGAGCTTAGATGTTTAGCATGAAACATCTTCTTACTGGTGTCTACCAAGTTTGTTCAAATAAAAGCCCCTGGATTATATTTGGCCCTGACTGGGGGGGGGGGGGGAGTAGATCATTGTTTTTCATTATATGTGTGTAGTAAAAACTTAACATTGTGAAATATCTTCTAATGGGTGTGTTCTAAGTTTGTTCAAATAAAAGCCCTTGGGTTTAAACTGGCCCCGCTCCGGGTGCCTTTATACAGGTGAGCGACCTCAGGGCCATCATGGCCCTCTTGTTTTAATGCATTGTTTTCTATTAATTTCTTTTTGACCTTGTATGAAAATACATAAAACTTTATGGGAATATAAAAAAAATACATGCAATATTCCAGTTGATGGGGCTCTTTTCAAAAAGCATGTATATCCAGTAAAGCAGGAATCTGATAATAACGCTCAAGCCCTGATTTGTGCAAATCTAGGGCTGAGGCAAGCAATAGGACAGGTATATGAACCAATATTAATAGTAAGTTAACTTGAAAGAATTTAATTTAACCTGATATCGATCCTCTTCGCAACCCCAATCCCCTTTATCCTGGAACTGTGCGGAGATAACTGTTCAATGCTTATAATTTACATTTGGATGATAATATGTAAATCTTTGCAGAAACTGGATCTTGTCAGTATGACAGAAACGAGTGTAAGCATGGAACTTGCCGAGAAACAAAGAATGAGAATGGGAGGGATTATCTCTGTGCCTGCCCACCAAAGAAAACTGGACTTTTTTGTGAAAAGAGTAAGTGAAACTGGTAATTTTAATTAATTTATTTAATTGGTAAAGTACCAACATTACTTGACTCATAATTAGGAAAACAGATTCCCATGAGACATATTCAGTAAGAATTTTTTAGATTTCAATACATTTCTGGAATAAAAATATTTTACTCAAAGATGAGCATGGTATATCTTAATAAACACATATTTTCTTTAAAGAAAATGTCAATACATGAGTGACTTGGATATTGTTAATAGCTAGGTAAAGTTTGAAATTCATATACAAAAAATGCAGTTATGTAGTGAATGTTTATAAAACAATAACTTGGTATTTGAATAAAAAGTTGTAGAACTATTCCATTGGTTTATCTTATTTTTTATTGGAAGATAATATTGTGTCATCCTGGAAGTTTAAATGATATATTGTAAGTATTTTTTTATAATTACATATTCACAGTATTGAAAGAAGTTGTTTCTGTAGAAATTTCAATAACTGTAAGTAAATGACGTCAAATCACCAATAGACATAAATTGCAGGGTTTCTTTTCCTTCTCAGCACTAATTGGGCTGTTTAAGAGCTGTTTCCCAGTGGTTCCCAAAAGTTTGGACAGATTGCACCAAGATGCAGACTGCCCAGCACTATACTGGTGGTAATTTCTGCTTATCTTAGGTTCAGACTGATTGAACATATTTGAATATTGTGAATATATGTCATATAATCACATGATTTCATATTTGAAACATAACAGCTATGAGTGACTGCCTTGATTGTTTGCCTGACGCCAGGATAGATTGTACAGGACTTGGCGATGGCACAGCTGTGTGTATATGCCTGGAATACGAAAGAAACAAGTATGACGCGCCCTCTATCTGCTTCTTTAGAAGACGAAAGAAAGGTTCGAGTATTACTTATAAAATCAATTAAGTACAAACCTTTGTTTTATCATTTATTTTTTAAAAACGTCTTATGGTATTTGCAAATAATGTTTTGCAAATTGCCTTTAATTAAATGGAAATTGAAGTAGAAAATTGGTAAATAATGATGTACAATCAGATAGTAAAAGATAATAGACTAGTAAAAGTAATAGTGTTGTCATGAATTTGTCTTTGCTTGCATTTCTTAGGAAAAGGCATAACATATAAAAATCTGCCATCCAGCACTGAAATATTAGTGAAGCATGTGGTCCACAAACAAGTCTTGTTTGAATTTTAATACAAGAAAATTTATGCTAAAAAATAGATTTGGATAGTGCAGTATTACTACACACTTTGAAAAAAATGAGTTTTAACTTAAAAAAAAAGTCTTTTGAAATAACTTTTTGTATAAATGGTATACTTTTATATCAGGTGATTTAGACCTGAGTGAAAAAATCTGAGGTATCCCAAAAAAAAGAAAAGAAAAAAAGAAGACCTTGATGTTTTACTTTTTTTGCTTTAAACAAAAACTGTATCCTCGTCTGTTTATCATGTATCATGTGTTCATGGTATCATGTGTTCATGGTATCATGAAAAAATAAAAATCCTCTTTCAGACCCCTTGTGACTGAGGGGTTGCGGTGGTTAAGGCATAAGAATTGCAGCCACTGTTTATCCCAGTGTAATCTTAAGAGGCGATTTAATTGTTTCGAATAACTGAAGTCTGTGCATCTCTTAGCTCTAGCAGGTGTGGTGGTTGCTTTGAAGTTTGTAAAACCTGTCACCCGAGGTTAGCCAAAATTATCTGTCCTGTTTTGGTGCCATTATGACCTGTACTGTGTTGGTGTGCTGTAAAAGCAACAAACAAACAAACAAATCCTGATTCAGCAATTGAATGTTTGAAATATCAATTTATGTCCACATATATTTTATAGTGTTTTTATAATTTTTTTGGTCATTGAACTACTCTATGAAGTTTATCAGTTGCTTTCCAGCAAACTTGTTTTTTTTAAACTTCAGCATGAAATTTCAAGCTTCCTTTTAAATTTTTAGACAGACAGGGAGACTGCAAGAAGCATAAACATAATTGTACCCCAGGTCAGGAGTGTGTAGACTACGCCCAAGGAGATAAAGGGTCAGCAAAGGTGTGCCAGTGTCCAGTCGGAAATATTCGAGGGCCTGATAATTGTGAACAAGGTTTGAAATCATTGGTTAATATCCATAAAAATATCATAGCTATATGATATATTTTTTTCTCTTTTCTTTTATAAAATGGTTGAAATAAACTGGATATTGTCACAAGACTGAGACTAAGCTTCTGACCTAGACGTAGGCATCAACACCAGCATTACACTTTGTTGAAGTTTTTATATACAATGTTGATCGTAAAGCCAGTTTCAAATGTAAAATTCGATATATGCAAATTTTAGTAAATTCATTGTATCATATTTTACAGCATTTTTTTTCAGTTTTAGAAAAGTAACAACAAACTTACTTGATCTTATCATTATATTAAACTTGCTTTAGCTGGCTAGCGGCAGCCTAATGTACCCATGGTGACCCGTGCCGACCAAAGTCTGTCTGCACATTCTGTGCTGTCTGATCATGGTCTGCAGCACTGTTTTCTATTAAGTCAGCACATATTTTAAAATTTTCGCTGAAAATGATGAACGGTATGGTCAAGATTGAAAGAAGGACATGTTATTTATGATATATAACATAGTTTAAGGGTAAAAAGAGTTATCATTCTTCAAAAGTGATAAAAGCAGTCTATGTTTCCTTTCAGAATATGAGTATATTGTACCTGGTAACAGAACCTCATGTGTTGATGCAAACATATATGGACCAATATGTATGTGTAACAAGTACGGTCGTAAGAAAGATCAATATGGATTCTGCAAAGCAAAAATGATTCAACCAAGCCTGTTTGGAACTATGGGAGGTAAACTTTTATTGTAAAAGCATTTCTTGAAATTTTCTTCATGTGTAGGCTTCTGACCATGAAATTATTATTAACAGTAACAACATAATGGAGCCACGTCACGACAAAACCAACATAATGGTTTGCGACCAGCATGGATCCCGACCAGCCTGCGCATCCGTGTAGTCTGATCAGGATCCATGCTGTTCGCTGTCAGTTTCTCCACTTGTAATAGAGTTGGTAAGCGAACAGCATGGATCCTGATCAGATTGCGCGGATGCGCAGGCTGGTCTGGATCCATGCTGGGCGCAAACCCACTATGTTGGTTTTGTTGTGACGTGGCTTATATATTTTGGTTTACTATTGATGCTTGGTTTACGACAACTTTTCAGCATTGTTTACAATTGATATCCATTTGTTAATCAGTTATATTGACATCTATGCCTTAACAAAATGAAGTTTGCATGCAGTCAAAAAGAGTCTATTTGAAATTAACAGTTCTGTGTTGAATAGACCCTTATTAAAATTTGTAAGAAAAAAATGATTATTTTATGCACTTAAATCAACACAGACGCTTATTAAAATTTGTTAAAAAAAATATCATTTTTGTGTCGCCTCTACGAAGTAGTGGTGATATATAGGGATCACTTTTCCGTCGTCTGTCCGTCCGTCTGCATGTCCGTCACAAAACTTGTACGGACTACTCCTCATAAACTACTGGTACAATTTCATCCAAACTTTACAGGAATGATCAGTACCAAGTCTAGTTGTGCATATTGTCAGCATTTTCCGGTTCAATGATTTTTGTCAGAGTTATGGCCCTTTAATAATTTTTATTGTAAAAGTTTGTCCGGACTACTTCTCTTATACCACTAATGCAATTTCATTGAAACTTTACAGGATAGATCTGTAGCTCAAGTCCTTGCGCATATTGCACGGGTTTTCCGGTTGAATGATTTTTTGCCGAGTTATGGCCCTTTGATAAAAAAGGTGTTTTTTTCTGTGTGTTGCCAGATACACAAAAGCTTGTCCGGACTACTCCTCATAAACTTCTGGTGCAATTTCATCCAAACTTTACAGGAATGATCAGTACCAAGTCTAGTTGTGCATATTGTCAGCATTTTCCGGTTCAATGATTTTTGTCAGAGTTATGGCCCTTTAATAATTTTTATTGTAAAAGTTTGTCCGGACTACTTCTCTTATACCACTAATGCAATTTCAATGAAACTTTACAGGATTGATCTGTAGCTCAAGCCCTTGCGCATATTGCACGGGTTTTCCGGTTGAATGATTTTTGGCCGAGTTATGGCCCTTTGATAAAAAAGGTGTTTTTTCTGTGTGTTGCCAGATACACAAAAGCTTGGCCGAACTACTCCTCATAAACTTCTGGTGCAATTTCATCCAAACTTTACAGGAATGATCAGTACCAAGTCTAGTTGTGCATATTGTCAGAATTTTCCGGTTCAATGATTTTTGTCAGAGTTATGGCCCTTTAATAATTTTTATTTTTAAAGTTTGTCCGGACTACTTCTCTTATACCACTAATGCAATTTCAATGAAACTTTACAGGATTGATCTGTAGCTCAAGTCCTTGCGCATATTGCACGGGTTTTCCGGTTGAATGATTTTTTGCCGAGTTATGGCCCTTTGATAAAAAGGTGTTTTTAGTCCCCTACCGGTTTACCGGAGGGGACTTTAGGTTTACCGTCCGTCTGTCTGTCCGTCCGTCCGTCCGTCCGTCTGTCTGTCAGTCCATCCACAAAACTGGATCCCGCGATAACTTGAAAAGTACTGAAAATATTTTTATGAAACTTGATATATGGATAGATGGCAGTATGGAGATTATGCACGTCTTTTTCTTTTCTTCCTATGTTGAAAATTCTGGTTGCTATGGCAACAAATAGGCTGAAAATATGGCAAATTTTACACATAAACTGGATCCAGTGATAACGCAAAAAGTACTGGAAATATTTTTATGAAACTTGACATATGGGTAGATGGCAGTCTGGAGATTATGCACGTCTTTTCCTTTTCTTCCTATGTTGAAAATTCTGGTTGCTATGGCAACAAATAGACTGAAAATATGGCAAATTTTACACATAAACTGGATCCAGTGTTAACGCAAAAAGTAATAGAAATATTTTTATGAAACTTGTAATATGGGTAGATGGCAGTCTGGAGATTATGCACGTCTTTTTCTTTTCTTCCTATGTTGAAAATTCTGGTTGCTATGGCAACACATAGACTGAAAATATGGCAAATTTTACACATAAACTGAATCCAGTGATAACTCAAAAAGTACTGGAAATATTTTTGTGAAACTTGACATATGGGAAGATGGCAGTCTTGAGATTATGCATGACTTATCTGTTCTTCCTATTTGGAAAAAATATTGGTTGCCTTGGCAACAAATAGGCTTAAAACATGGCAAATATAACAATATTTGTGATTAGTCAAAAAGAGCTGAAATTTTTTTTATGAAATTGTATCTTTAATTCAAGAGTTATCTCCTCTTTAAGAATTCTGCTTTTAAAAATGTTATATTTTGGTAACAGGGGTGTTTCAAATATTAACTTTAGAGTGTCCTTCAGTCCGTTTGTCTGTCTGTTCATAAAACTGTTTCCTGTGATCACTTTTAAAGAACTTTTCCAACAAATTTACTAAAAATAGAGAAAAATTGAAACATTAGTGAATGGCCAATGGCCCTTCAGAATATTGATGGGGTTCTAAACGGTAGGGGACTTATAAATAGATTGCTTGCAATACTATGATAATTGCTTGTTTTCTTTGTGTTGCCAGATACACAAAAGCTTGTCCGGACTACTCCTCATAAACTACTGGTGCAATTTCATCCAAACTTAACAGGAATGATCAGTACCAAGTCTAGTTGTGCACTGTCCGTCTGTCTGTCCGTCTGTCACAAAACTTGTCCCAACATGAAATTGGCCATCATGAGGCGACACATGTGATCACTGATCGCTCTTGTTGCAATGACAAAATAACTTGCACATTGGTAAACATTACCTGTCACAGTTAATGTTTTATGTACTGTCACCCTTAGAGGAAGATGATTTTGATATAATACTATAAATGAATAAAGATTTTCTTAAAACACCAGAGAAATATTCAAATACAGACGTTAATTATGCTTTATTATTTATATTAGAGGAAGGGCCATGCTCTTTAAGCAGAAATAAATGTCGTCATGGTCAATGTGTCCAGATAGATAAGGAAAAGTTTGTTTGTGCTTGTTACGGTAGATGGAGAGGAAAATATTGTCACATACGTAAGTGATTAACAAATAAATTTTACAAATTTGCCAAATTTTGGACAATACCTCCTTTATTATTGGACAATATCACTTCAGTATTCCCCTACTAATAAGCTGTTTACTAAATAGGTATTTACCTGTCGTTTAAAAAGTTGCCTTTTCAAGATATCATTTATGAATTTATGAACATGCTTGCCATAACCACTAAAAGGAGCATTAACTCCCCCCCCCCCCATTTTCCCTCCACTGCTCCAGTTTTTAACCTAGTTTACCAAATTCCCTGCTTTTAAAAGCAATATCTCCTCTATTTGAGTTGCTAGAAATACAAGGAATATTGCATGTTTGTAGAATAAGTATATGTTCATATTTAGTTTAATAATCAAAACATTTTTTTCATTTAATGAGCATATACACTAATCATTCTGTTTTCTTTTGCAATAAATAAATTAGTTTGATACAAGTGTTAGACAATCAAAATTCAGTAAGGCATTTAATAAAATTTCTTTTCAAGTGTCAGCTTTTGTTATACGTTTTATGTTGACAGCATCATTTATCTTTTTGAATTTTGTAGAAACAATCTGGTGTCACAGATGTGAAAAAGATCAAAGATTTGAGTGTTTAGGCCTGGAGGATGCCACTGTTGTGTGTATCTGTATGGGTTATTACAAGAATAAATTTAACGCTCCATCACTCTGCTTCTTTCCTGATCCTCATAAAAGTAAGTTTACTCATGGAAGTAAGTAAATCTTCATAGAATAAGGTTTACTCATGGAAGCAACTCTATCTTCATAGAATTAAGTTAACTCATGGAAGTAAGTAAATCTTCATAGAATTAAATTTTCTTGTGGACTTAAGTTAATCTTCATAGAATAAGGTTTACTCATGGAAGCAACTCTATCTTCATAGAATTAAGTTAACTCATGGAAATAAGTAAATCTTCATAGAATTAAATTTTCTTGTGGACTTAAGTTAATCTTCATAGAATAAGGTTTACTCATGGAAGCAACTCTATCTTCATAGAATTAAGTTAACTCATGGAAATAAGTAAATCTTCATAGAATTAAATTTTCTTGTGGACTTAAGTTAATTTTCATAGAATAAGGTTTACTCATGGAAGCAACTCTATCTTCATAGAATTAAGTTAACTCATGGAAATAAGTAAATCTTCATAGAATTAAATTTTCTTGTGGACTTAAGTTAATTTTCATAGAATTAGGTTTACTCATGGAAGTAATTCTATCCTTTTTGAATCATGTTTCCTCATGAAAATAAGTCTATAGTCACAAATTAAGTTTACTCATGAAAGTAAGTCAGTACTTATTGAATTAAGTTTACTCATTGAAGTACCGTAAAATTCCTAATAAACGCCCCTCCCCTTATAAAGGCCCCCCCAGGCCTTTTGATAAGGAAAACAATCTACTCAATTAACTTTACTCACCAAAAAAGTATATCCTCTTTGAATTAAAGTTTCCTCATGGAGGTAAGTCTATCCTCATTGAATAGTTTACCCTTCATAGAATTAAGTTTACTAATGGAAGTAAGTAAATCTTCATAGAATTAAATTTACTCATGGACTTAGTTTCCTAATGAAAATAAATCTATCGTCACAAATTAAGTTTACTCATGAAGTAAGTCAATGCTCAATGAATTAAGTTTACTCATTGAAGTCTATCCTCGTTGAATTAAGTTTACTCATGGAAGTAAGTCTATCCTCATTTAATTAAGTTTTCTCATGGAAGTAAGTCAATACTCATTGAATTAAGTTTTCTCATGGAAGTAAGTCTATCCTCGTTGAATTAAGTTTACTCATGGAAGTAAGTCTATTCTCATTTAATTAAGTTTTCTCATGGAAGTAAGTCAATACTTATTGAATTAAGTTTACTCATGGAAGTTAGTCTATCTCCATTGAATTAAGTTTACTAATGGAAGTAAGTCTATCCTCAATGAATTAAGTTTTCTCATGGAAGTAAGTCTATCCTCGTTGAATTAAGTTTACTCATGGAAGTAAGTCTATTCTCATTTAATTAAGTTTTCTCATGGAAGTAAGTCAATACTTATTGAATTAAGTTTACTCATGGAAGTTAGTCTATCCCCATTGAATTAAGTTTACTAATGGAAGTAAGTCTATCCTCAATGAATAAGTTTTCTCATGGAAGTCAGTCTATGCTCATTGAATTAAGTTTTCTCATGGAAGTGAGTAAATTCTCATTGAATTAAGTTTACTCACCAAAAAAAGTCTATCCTCATTGAATTAAAGTTTCCTCATGGAAGTAAGTCTATCCTCATTGAATAGTTTACCCTTCATAGAATTAAGTTTACAAATGGAAGTAAGTAAATCTTCATAGAATTAAATTTACTCGTGGACTTAAATTAATTTTCATAAAATTAGGTTAACTCATGGAAGTAATTCTATCCTTTTTAAATCAGGTTTCCTAATGAAAATAAATCTATCGTCACAAATTAAGTTTACTCATGAAGTAAGTCAATGCTTAATGAATTAAGTTTACTCATTGAAGTAAGTCTATCCTCGTTGAATTAAGTTTACTCATGGAAGTGAGTCTATCGTCATTTAATTAAGTTTTCTCATGGAAGTAAGTCAATACTTATTGAATTAAGTTTACTCATGGATGTTAGTCTATCCCCATTGAAATAAGTTTACTCATGGAAGTAAGTCTATCCTCAATGAATTAAGTTTACTCATGGAAGTAAGTCTATCCTCATTGAATTAAGTTTACTGATGGAAGTAAGTCTGTCAACAATCAATTAAGTTTACTCATGGAAGTAAGTCTGTCCTCATTGAATTAAGTTTTCTCATGGAAGTAAGTCTATCTTCATTGAATTAAGTTTACTCATGGAAGTAAGTCTATCCTCATTGATAAAGTTTTCTCATGGAAGTTAGTCTATCCCCATTGGATTAAGTTTACTCATGGAAGTAAGTCTGTCCTCATTGAATTAAGTTTTCTCATGGAAGTAAGTCTATCTTCATTGAATTAAGTTTACTCATGGAAGTAAGTCTATCCTCATTGATAAAGTTTTCTCATGGAAGTTAGTCTATCCCCATTGGATTAAGTTTACTCATGGAAGTAAGTCTATCCTCATTGAATAAAGTTTTCACATGGAAGTAAGTCTATCCTCATTGAAATAAGTTTTCACATGGAAGTAAGTTTATCCTCAATGAATTAAGTTTTCTCATAGAAGTAAGTCTATTCCCAATGAATTAGGTTTCCTCATGGAAGTAAGTCTATCTTCATTGAATTAAGTTTACTCATGGAAGTAAGTCTATCCTCATTGATAAAGTTTTCACATTGAAGTAAGTCTATCCTCATTGAATAAAGTTTTCACATGGAAGTAAGTCTATCCTCATTGAATTAAGTTTTCACATGGAAGTAAGTCTATCCTCAATGAATTAAGTTTTCTCATGGAAGTAAGTCTATCCTCAATGAATTAAGTTTACTCATGGAAGTAAGTCTATCTTCATTGAATTAAGTTTTCACATGGAAGTAAGTCTATCCTCATTGATCATGGAAGTAAGTCTATCCTCATTGATCAAGGAAGTAAGTCTATCCTCATTGAATTAAGTTTACTCATGGAAGTAAATCTATCCTCATTGAATTAAGTTTTCACATGGAAGTAAGTCTATCCTCATTGAATTAAGTTTACTCATGGAAGTCAGTCTAAGCTCATTGAATTAAGTTTACTCATGGAAGTCAGTCTAAGCTCATTGAATTAAGTTTACTCATGGAAGTAAGTCTATCCTCATTGAATAAAGTTTACTCATGGAAATAAGTCTATCCTCATTGATCAAGGAAGTAAGTCTATCCTCATTGAATTAAGTTTACTCTTTGAAGTAAAGCTATCCTCATTGAATAAAGTTTACTTATTGAAGTAGTCTATCCTATCTATCTGTCAAACATATACAAAAGTGCTTTATGTTTTAAGAACGACAAGGTCCCTGTGGTTTAGGCCGTAATGATTGTGAGCCTGGAAAAGAATGTGTGAATTACGCCCTATCAGATGATAGTAACCAAGTGCTCTGTCAGTGTCCAGTTGGAAGGACCCGTGGTGTAGACTGTATAGAAGGTAAAAACTGTGTTAAATTGTTATATAAATTGTCTAAAAGCATCTTACGTATTAAATTGTAAAAACCATGTCTTATTGTCATGAAAATTGCTTTGGTTATTTGTACAATAACTTTCTGAATTAAGGAGAAAAATCCTCACTGACCAATGGTCAGAAGTGTTTAACTTCAAACCACAATCATTTGATTTTAAATAGGACAAATCCATCGACATGTGTCTAAAAGAATGCTTGTGCCTGTATCATATTATGTGCTCGACACATGAACCTGAAATGAAATCTTTTGACGTTGGTCACTAGTATTAACCCCATATTTCTGAGGCAAATATACAAAAGTTTTTAGAAATAGTACAACCTTGACATGTGTTCAAAAGTTTTGAAAAAGATTAAAACTAAAATTATAATTTGTTTCATTTCCTTTTATTAACTAGATTACAAATTTATTGACATATCTGGCACTCTGCCTACTTGCATATATTCGGATAAATATGGACCATTCTGTGTGTGTAAAGAATATGGCAGACGGGGAAAAGATCTGGGGTTTTGTAAACCAAAAATAAGGGTCCATGGCGCTGTGGTTAAACCAAAAGGATCAGGTATTCTTATCCCCTTATCCCTCTTATGTTTAAGATTCTTCAATTTCTGAATTGCGATGCAGAAAAACATTTACAAATTGGGGATTGAAGGGTGTGCAATTGTATTTTGTAACTATTCTCAGAAGAATTTGATTAAATAAAAGTCTAAAACTTTTACTGAAGGTGAAAATATTTATTGAAACCGTCTTAATTTACTGCTATACTTTGTCACAAGTCCTTGGACTTAGGATACACTTAGGACCTTCTATGGAACGCAGCCCAGGGTATTATTTAAATTTCTCATTGCCAGGCAATAGTGACAAGACTTTACCATTACTAGCATAGAGCTTAGTCAGCCTAAATATTTTTCACACAGTTTATACTACACAATTAATTTTCTAATATAATCACCATACAAAATTTAAGTTTTACTTCACCATACCATACTACACAATTAATTTTCTAATATAATCACCATACAAAATTTAAGTTTTACTTCACCATACCATACTACACAATTAATTTTCTAATATAATCACCATACAAAATTTAAGTTTTACTTCACCATACCATACTACACAATTAATTTTCTAATATAATCACCATACAAAATTTAAGTTTTACTTCACCATAACATACTACACAATTAATTTTCTAATATAATCACCATACAAAATTTAAGTTTTACTTCACCGGTTTAGCCTGTTTTTAATTAAAAATTCTGCTATAACTTTACGTATAAAAATATGTTATTAAATGTTTTGACAATGTTTCTTTAAATAGGGGGACCATGTGATGCTAGTGTAAACAGATGTCGGCGAGGGGTTTGTATAAAAACCGAGGCATACAAGGGTTTTGACTACATCTGCGCGTGTCCACCTGGATATACCGGAAGACTGTGTCATCATAGTATGAAAAACCTATTTATTTTATAAGAATAGACAGTTTGGTAAATGACTTTATTTCATTAAAAACAATTTTTGTGGTCAAATTTATGAAAAACAAAAATAAACAACTTAAAACAGAAAATCAAAGTTCAGCTGGTTGCCTTCTGATGCCTTCATCAAGAAGTTCAGGCTGCTGATATCTCAATCCATGTTTATTGTAGGCTGCTGATGTAATCCCATGTCATGCTAAATTCTGGTTCCCAATAATATTTCATGCCATGGTTATTGTAGGCTGCTGGTATTATCCCATGTCATGTAAAATTCTGGTTCCCAATAATATTTTATGCCATGGTTATTTTAGGCTGCTGGTATTATCCCATGTCATGTTAAATTCTGGTTCCCAATAATATTTTATGCTATGGTTATTTTAGGCTGCTGGTATTATCCAGTGCCATGCTTAATTGCTGTTTTGAAATATCAAAGTGCTGGAATTAAAAGCAGCCAACTGGAAAGACCTTCAGGTGAGACTTAACTCAAACAGTAAAATTACTACTGCCAGCAGTCAAAATATCAAATTGGGAAAGATATGAACCATATTCTTGTCATTTTTTATGAATGTGATTTAAAATTATTTTGTCAATAAGACCTGTGTTACATGTTGTTCTTTTAAGAAATGTTAACATGTGTGCATTGTGTGAACAAGGCAAGGACAGATTGTATTGGTCTACCAGACGGAACTGCCGTATGTGTTTGTATAGAACTGGTCGGAAAAAAGAGAAAATATGGGAAAACACCATTGATTTGCTATTATAAAAGCTACAAAATAAGTAAGTTTTTTTTTGTTTTTTCAAGATTAAATTATTTGGTTATTTGGTGTCCAAGTGGTTAACGCTTCAGCCTAAGGATTGCTGATCATGGGGTCCAAACCCTGTCAGGGGCAAGCTGTTGTTTCCTTGACCAAGAAACTTACATTTACTCTTAGTATGGGTTGGTTCCAGGAATGGATTTGAGAGTGTTTCAATAAGCTTATAGCTTCCAACACAATGGAACTAAAATGAATTTGTATAAACCAAATAAATAAAAAATTACTTATTTGCATATGATTAAAGTCATAATAAACACTGTTCCATTCTGTGTGACTTAAGTGAAAGAAGGAAAATTTAAACATGTGCAGAGAATTTTCTTAAACTGTGCAAATGTGATTGAAACATGAATTGATTGGAAAGAAAATAAGGGACATCATTCTATTTCTTGAGTGATCACCATTTACATTCATTGGGTTGAAAAGAAAAAAAGGGTCACCATTCTATTTTTTGAGTGATCGCCATTAAAATACATTCATTGGGTAAATACTTTAATCAATATATTTTAGCTGAACAGAAAAGATGTAGATTAGGTGGCTATGAATGTGCTACAGGCAAGCAGTGTGTGAACTACGCTCAGCATGAGAATAGAGATTGGATGCTTTGCCAATGTCCGGCTGGTAAAAAACGTGGAAAATATTGTAGTGATGGTAAATTGCTTCATTCAAATTCATAAATAAGGATTAAAGTGCTCTTGAGAAAAATAATATGGTACAACTTTTTCAAAGAAACACCCTTTGAGAGACAAAAATTTAAGTTGTTATAAAATATGTTACCCAAGTGAGGTAAAGGTGTGTGTTGTAAAATAATAATTTTGGAAATTTAAATAAGTTTCGGAAAAAACAACAACAGGAAAATGGAAAACAGGAGTAAAACAGGCGACACCTGAGCTGGTTTAGTGAAACTTCATCAGGGTTAAGGTTTGGAAGATTCTGTTGTTGTATAGAGGTTAGTGCTAAACAGAGGTTACACTGTACTTTAAGTCATATTCGTGGGGATTTTTTCAAATGAGCATCAATATTTTTTTAATTTAGAAATTTCTTGATTGTTTGACGGTTTTTTTTTAGATATCATTATAATTATGTTCCGGAATTTGGAAGTTACACTGCATCTAATTTTAATAAATACAGATACAAAGTCATTAATCAACAGTCACATCTTGCAAGTTTTACACTTTCGAAAATAAATTAATTACTACATATGAGCCGCGTCATGACAAAACCAACATAATGGGTTTGCGACCAGCATGGATCCAGACAGACCAGTCAGCGCATTGGTGCAGTCTGATCAGGGTGCATGCTGTTAGCTGTTGGTTTCTCCACTTGTAATAGATTTGTTAAGGGAACAGCAATGGATCCTGATCAGACTGCGCGGATGTTGGTTTTGTCATGACTCGGCTCATATATCTTTCATGAACTCTCAGCATGAATTTCAGATTCCATTTATTTATTGTTGTTGTTTTTGTTTTCTTTTGAGTGACCAGATGCTATTTAACAGAAGTTAAGCTTTTCCCAAGATTTCCCATAATAGCCCTTGTGAACTGATTTTATGTATTATTTCCTTGAATATATTATTTAGATTACAAGATTGATAAACCAAGTGGAAGGAATTACTGTGTTGATACCATACTTTATGGTCCAATTTGCATGTGTGACAAATACCCTGGACGAGAGCTCGGCTTTTGTATTCCACAGCTACACAGGTCAGCCGGGTATAAACTGGTAAAAAATGCCAACACAGCTCTTATACGAAGTGGTGAGTGTCAAACAATTCATTTTGTTGGTCATAGGAGTTTTTGTGTCCAATTCAGAAGACTAACTCAACAGCGTTCAAAAGCTTTTTGTCAGTGAATGACAGTTAATATATCTGTAGATCTATTTTGATGGTCCTTGTTTTCTGTTTGTATCTTTTACCATCTTTTTGCTGTAAATGTTTCAACAAGTATTAAAACAATTTTTAAGTATTTACATTTTATTATAAAAAAAGAAAAGGGGAAGTGTAAGTAAGATATACATGTATATAATGTATTATACTATTGACTGTTGTTGAAATTTGATCATCCTCACCTGGTCTTACAAATATTATTTGGGAGACCACTTAACCAAAGGACCATTCCTGTGATGCTATCTTTGCACTTTAATATATTGGAAGAAATCATAGCTAGCAGCAAGTTTGCCTTCATACATAGCAATAGACCAAGTTTAAAGGTTGTAAAGATTTTGCTCTTACAATGTAGCTCAAACTCAGATCTCAGGTATTTGATTGGTCAAAATCCAGCACAGAATGTATATTGACCAATGAAAATCCTGAGATTTGAGACTCAGCTTAGAAAAAAGTTTATAACCTCAATGTCATCATTCTCACACAAAAGTTGTTGAAACAATTTTATTTTTATTTTCGGATAATTTAGATTCTCCATGTAACAATAAGGACATATGTAAAGGAGGAACATGTATAGAAGAGAATCGCCAGAAAGAATCCCTCTTTGCTTTTCTTTGTTCTTGCCCAAATGGTAAAACTGGACAGCTTTGTCACCAAGGTAACGTTTTCTGTATTTTTAGTTAACTAATAATTTATAATGGTCTAGTTATAAAGGAAAAAAAATGAGTGAGTTGCAGTCTTATTAGAAGAAACATAAATGTGTACTGGTAATCCTTTATTAATCTTAGTTTAAACATATTTATTTAAGCTCGATTGCAAAACAAGTTCTTGCAACTTATATTAATCACTTTTGAGTCTGTTTTATGGAACTATATCCATTACTTTGACATATGAGGAATCATGATTGTGACCTGTGTAGAGCTTGAACCCATGATCCCAAAGTTGAGAAGCAGACACTTTAACCACTAGACCATTGCACCCCTTATTTATGATTTATAATGGTCTAGTTATATGGAAAAATTGAGTAAGTCTCAGTCTAAGTAGTAGAAGAAATATAAATGTGTAATCCATTTTTGATCATATTTATAATGTTTATTGTAACGTAAAACCCATATTCTTGTTGAAAAGATAATGACATTATCATAATTTAGTATTTTTACACCTATGTTTTTTTTCCAGACATGTTAGAATGTTATCATTGCAAGAATGAGGCAAGAGAAGACTGTATCGGTCTACCAGATGGCACCACTGTCTGTATATGTTTAGAACTAGAGGACCGCAAAAAAGATTTAGGAAATACTCCTTTAATATGTTACTACAAAATGTTCAAAGATAGTTAGTATTGAACATTTTGCGAGTTGTAAATTTTTATGAATAAATTTGAAAATGTATTTTGATATGATTAAGAATATATATAATTACCTATAGGTATTCGGATAATGCATTTCGAAAAAACGTCTGTTGATATAATGACAAGAGATTGAAACGGGATAATCTACAGATCTTTAATGACAAGTTTTTGTATAAAAGGGTTGTTAAATAACCAGGGTTGGACTGTATTTATTTTTAAAGGTGATGGTACATTTGTAAGTGAAAGGAATTTAAAATCCGAATTTCAACATAAGTATATTAAATTTTATGATAACCACTAAGCCCTCAAAGGGTTTTTTACTATTTAAACATATAAACCGCGCCATGACAAAACCGCGCAGTCTGATCAGGATCCATGCTGTTTGCTTACAAACCCTATAACAAGAAGAGAAACTGATAGTGAACAGCATGGATTCTGATCAGACTGCGTGGATGCGCAGGCTGGTCTGGATCCATGCTGGTCGCAAACGCATTATGTTGGTTTTGTCATGGCGCGGCTCATATAAGATCATAATATCATTATTCTTATCATGATCATTTTTTTTATGGCATTGGAGTTTACTTTGTGTATAATGCATGTCTTTATAGTGTTCACTGCTAATGAGTATCTCAGACACTGTAAAGGGTTTGCACAGGTCTTGAAAAGTGCTTGAAAATGATCTGTGGCTTGAAATTTGAGTGCTTGAATTGAGGGTGTCCATGAAAAAGTGTTAAGTTGGAGTTGGGGGCAAATGATCTCATAACTCCTGTATTTGTTACCAGGGAGTGTAACCATTTAATTTTACTTCAGCTTCAATCTTTTAAAAGTTTATAAGGACTTCGATTTATTTACTACTTAATATTTCATTATGCCCTATTGCGAAAAAGAAGGTGTTTAAATTGGTTTGCAAATGTTTATCAGTTAATGGACCACTTTGTTTCCACTCAATAACTATAGAACTATCTGATAGCCTTTAAACTTCATAGGCTAATCACCCTCATTGAGTAAAAGACCACTATAGTTTTTGGGTGCTGATAAAAATTAATGGCACAGTGACCTTGACTGAAAAATATTTTTGCTTGATAATGTTTCGACATAAAGTCTAGAACAAGAATTTGGGGTATATGCAATATGATGGCTGGTTTTACTTTGATTTCTTTTAAATTTTATTAATTCAAGAATATTTCACATTGAAGCATTCATTTTGAAATACAAACTAATTCTTTTTAATATAACTTTAATTACAGTTTTCCCAAGTACACCCATGTTGATGTGGATTATACAACCCTAATTTTTAGCTCACCTGTCACTTTGTGACAGAGTGAACTTTTGTGATCGCTTTTCATCCGGCGTCCATAAACTTTTACTTTAAATGACATCTCCTCATAAACCACTGAGCCAATTTCATCCAAACTTCACAGGAATGTTCCTTTGGTGGTCACCTTTAAAAATTGTTCAAAGAATTTAATTCCATGCAGAACTCTGGTTGCCATGGCAACCAAAAGAAAAAACTTTTTATATCATCTTCTAAAAAAACCAAAAGAGCTAGAGCTTAGATATTTGGCATGAAACATCTTCTAGTGAGTGTCTACCAAGTTTGTTCAAATTAAAGCCCTGGGGTCAAAATTGGCCCCGCCCCAGGGGGTCATTGATTTTTCCTGTATGTATATAGTAAAAACTTTAAGAATCTTCTTTTAAAGAACCCAAAAAGCTAGAGCTAAGATATTTAGCATGAAACATCTTCTGATGGGTGTCTACCAAGTTTGTTCAAATAAAAGCCCTTGGGGTCAAAATTGGCCCCGCCCCAGGGGGTCATTGATTTTTCCTATATGCATATAGTAAAAACTTAAAAATCTTCTTTTAAAGAACCCAAAGAGCTAGAGCTAAGATATTTAGCATGAAACATGTTCTAATGGATGTCTACCAAGTTTGTTCAAATAAGAGCCCTGGGGTCAAAATTGGCCCCGCCCCAGGGGCTCATTGATTTCCCCTATATGAATATAGTAAAAACTTAAAAATCTTCTTTTAAAGAACCCAAACAGCTAGAGCTAAGATATTTAGCATGAAACATGTTCTAATGGATGTCTACCAAGTTTGTTCAACTTAGAGCCCTGGGGTCAAAATTGGCCCCGCTCCGGGGGACATTGATTTTCCTTATATGTGTATAGCAAAACTTAAAAATCTTCTTGGAAATAACCCGAATAGCTAGAGTTTAGATATTAAGCATGAAACATCTTCTAGTAAGTGTCTACAAAGATTGTTCAAATAAAAGCCCTGGGGTCAAAACTGGCCCTGCCCCAGAAGTGTCATTGTTTTTAAATACTAGTATGTGTGTAAAGAAAAAACTTAAAAAATCTTTTTTTTAAAAACCCAACAAGCTAGACCTTAGATGTTTAGCATGAAACATCTTCTAATGGGTGTTTACCAAGTTTATTCAAATAAAAGCCCTGGGGTTTAAAATTGGCCCGCTCCGGGGGGCCTATATACAGGTGAGCGACTTCAGGGCCATCATGGCCCTCTAATAATAAATAAATGTTAACACTTTTTATTTGTTTGGGTCGTCAGACTGAATAAATAATGGTAGCGAAATTTCAGACCCTGATATGCTTATTTGCAAAATCCAAAAGTAGTCCAAACTCCTCAAAGCGGCTACTTCCCTTTATAAGTACACTAATGACAAAAAACTAAGGGGAGATCACTGCATAAAGAATATCAAATGACAGGCGCATTAATTTTTAAGCCTTCTCGGGGTAGACAAAATAGTTCCCGATTGATCGAAGATTTCTAATATTTTGTAATTCTTCACAGATATACATGCTTATATTAAGCTCCATGATTATTTACATCAGTGTTAAACAACAGGTTTACTGTGAACAAAATATCTCGAAATTAATAAGGGTTACAAACCCTAAATAAGAATAATGTGCTTTTCTTCAGACAGTTACCATATAACTTCCCCATGGTCGAGGGGTTACACTCATGTTTAGAAAGCGAGAAGTCTGGGGTTCAAATCCCAGTTAAGCCAATGTTATGTTTTTTTGTTGTTGTTTTTAGCTCGACTATTCGAAGAATATGAGAGCTATTGTAGTCGCCCCGGCGTCGGCGTCAGCGTCCGCGTCGGCGTCTGCGTTGGTTAAAGTTTTTTGTAAAGTCAAATATCTCAATTATTACTTGAGATATTCAATTGAAACTTACAATACTTATTTATAGTAACAAGGTACATCAGATTGACAAGTTGGATAACTCTGCCTACAATATTGACAGAATTATGCCCCTTTTTAACTTAGAAATTTTGGTTAAAGTTTTTTGTAAAGTCAAAATATCTCAATTATTACTTGAGATATTCAATTGAAACTTACAATACTTATTTATAGTAACAAGGTACATCAGATTGACAAGTTGGATAACTCTGCCTACAATATTGACAGAATTATGCCCCCTTTTTAACTTAGAAATTTTGGTTAAAGTTTTTTGTAAAGTCAAATATCTCAATTATTGCTTGATATATTCAATTGAAACTTACAATACCTATTTTATAGTAACAAGGTACATCAGATTGACAAGTTGGATAACTCTGCCTACAATATTGACAGAATTATGCCCCTTTTTAACTTTAGAAATTTTGGTTAAAGTTTTTTGTAAAGTCAAATATCTCAATTATTACTTGAGATATTCAATTGAAACTTACAATACTTATTTATAGTAACAAGGTACATCAGATTGACAAGTTGAATAACTCTGCCTACAATATTGACAGAATTATGCCCCTTTTTAACTTAGAAATTTTGGTTAAAGTTTTTTGTAAAGTCAAATATCTCAATTATTGCTTGATATATTCAATTGAAACTTACAATATACCTATTTATAGTAACAAGGTACATCAGATTGACAAGTTGGATAACTCTGCCTACAATATTGACAGAATTATGCCCCTTTTTAACTTAGAAATTTTGGTTTAAGTTTTTTGTAAATTCAAATATCTCAATTATTGCTCGAGATATTCAATTGAAACTTACAATACCTATTTATAGTAACAAGGTACATAAGATTGACAAGTTGGATAACTCTGCCTACAATATTGACAGAATTATGCCCCTTTTTAACTTAGAAATTTTGGTTTAAGTTTTTTTTGTAAATTCAAATATCTCAATTATTGCTCGAGATATTCAATTGAAACTTACAATACCTATTTATAGTAACAAGGTACATCAGATTGACAAGTTGGATAACTCTGCCTACAATATTGACAGAATTATGCCCCTTTTTAACTTAGAAAATTTTGGTTTAAGTTTTTTGTAAATTCAAATATCTCAATTATTGCTCGAGATATTCAATTGAAATTTTAAAATACTTTTTTTATAGTAACAATGTACATCAGTTTGCAAAATTGCATAACTCTGCCTGCAATATTTGGCAGAATTATTTGCCCCTTTGAAACTTAGAAATTTTGGTTAAAGGTCTTCAAAGATATTTACTTGAAACTTTACACATGCACTTAGGGTCATAATTGGAGGCTGATTCATATCCCCTTTTCTACTTAGTCTCTTGGTTAATGTTTACATGCAAGTTTTACATATCTCAATAACTATTAAAGATATTTATTTAAAACTTCACATATGCATTTAGGGTCATAATTGTAGGTCACTGACAAAGATCCATAATTCTATCTTGCATTTAGGCTGATTTTTCTACCCTTTTTCAACTTAGAAATTCATGGTAAAGGTTTGCTTGTAAGCTGTTATCTCAGTAACTACTGAAGGGTTTGTGCCTTTTTTGGGACAATTTTATGCATTCATAATAATAAAGCAGTGATTTACTTGATAAAACATCTTAATAAAAAGCCTTTGTACCTTTTCTGTGAAATTTATGTATTCATAGGCAATTAGTATTATTATACTCAATAAAACACCCTTGTGACATTACCTTCCGAATAGTCAAGCCAATACTGTATAATTAGACTCTCTCTAAGGCCTATAACATGAATTAAAAAAAAAAATTAGCCCTTTTGTGAACTTAAAAAATTTAACTTTATAAAGGCTCTTTTACTATCAAGCACTTAGAATAGTCGAGCATGCTGTCCTACAGACAGCTCTTGTTTTTATTCTTATCATTATTTTATTTTCTTTAAATTGTTTTAGCCAAATAAACATTGAATTGAATATCAGTATTGCAATTAGCCTTATAGCCAAATTACAACAATTATAACACTGAAACAGCATTGGTGTTACTATACAAAAACAAATGGGTTTATAATCTCACAACCTTCAACTTTCTGACATTCTGAGACCCAAACAAATTCAGTGCCTTCTGTGCTTTGATTTTACATATCTGTTACTTAAAGGCAGTTAAAAATTCAAGAAAAACCTTGATTTTACCTACTAGTTACAGCTTACCATAAGAAATGCATAGATGGTGGCTATGAATGTCCCACAGGCAAGCAATGTGTGAACTTCCAACAGTATGCGGACAGACCATGGTTCGGGTGTCATTGTCCTGCGGGAAAAAAACGTGGCGATCATTGTACAGAAGGTATGTGATGTGAAAACAATAGAATGTTATCTGGAGCTCGGCAAATGTGGGTTTTTCCAAGCGGTACAAACAAACTTTTACCATTATAGCCTCATGGTGTTCTACTGTTTACAGAAGATTAGGCAACCTGTTGCTGTGACTGCTATAGTTTGTTTGCACTGAAAGCGCAAAATATTCCTAGTCTATTAAATGAAAGCATTTACTAAATATACAAGAAAATGCAACATCTTTGAGCGACATTGTTATGAAGTTCCTGTAAGATAAGGTAAGATGAAAATTGATTAAAATTACATGTGACTTGAAGTGGTTTTTTATCAGAATATGACCTTGAATCCATTATGTCAATGACCTTTACAGTCAAGGTTATATTTTAAAAATTAATCAAATTTGTAATTAATGGATTTGGTTCATACTTGATCAAAATAACATGTAGGAACAAACTGTCATATTTAATAATTCAAAATGACCTTGACCTTAAGCTTTGACCTTAATTCACCCATTAAAGCATCTTTGGTAATCAGGAAAAAGCCTTGACTTGCATTGGCTCAGGTTGGAAATCTGGTTTAGTAGCATTGCCATGTTTCTTGTTGAATAATGTCAGGCCTTATAGAAAATCAGAATGTCTCCTCAAAATGTAGTACAGGTTTCATATAATTGAAAAGCATACATTGATGAAAATGCATGTACTTCAATAAGCAGTAGGTTGTTTCCAGTCCTATTTTTGTATTGATTGTACATCTCATGTGAAATTTGTTCTTGTATTTGACAAATAAAATATGTTTAAACCAAAAAGCATGCATGCAAATCCAGATAATATCTGCATATATTTATGTACATGTATATTCTTTTGCTCAGACTAAAAATAGTCAAGTTTTATGATTAAAATTCTAAATAGACTTGTAATACTTGTTTGATTTACATCTTGTTGTCTGTTAGCTCGCACATATTTTAACCCTTTCATGCCTGTTATTTTGGCTTATTTGCCATATGGACGGCTTTTGCCATTTCTTTAATAATCATAATAATAATAATAAATTAATAATAATAATGAAAATAATAATAAATATAAAGAAAATTATACCATCAACAATAATTATTATTATACTAGCATATTTTGAAACATATATAATTATTATAATACTAATAACAAATAATAATAGTAATTATATTAATTAATAATATAGTAAATAACATGCATTCATGATAATATTATAGAGATTAATGTTTCCAGATTACAAGGTAGACAGACCCGGGGGACGGTTCCATTGTGTTGATACAATACTTTATGGACCTATATGCATGTGCGGCAAATATCGTAAAAGAAAATATGGCTTCTGTATACCCGAGGTGAAGGAGTCCACTGGGTACAGACACTTTAAAAATGGCCATACAGCACTTATTAAACCTGGTAAGTGAAGGACTAATGAAATCAAATCTTTTAATACATTTGTAGTCCCATATTGGTGCCTGAACATTGGAGGGGAATTTATTTCTGCCCTTTTTGTCTGGAAATCTGGATCATGCAGTAAACTGAATGAAATACATGTATGTTTATTCTTATTGATAAAACTACATGTGAAAAAGTTGAGATATAGAAATCCTTGTCATGTTGTTTTCCTGAGTCTACAAATCTGGTTCTTGCATATCAGACTGGTGTTTATATTAATTTTGCCTATGCTGGAAATTTCATCTGGCATTGGGTGGGTGGGGGGGGGGGGGCTGGCAGGGGTTCCAGATGATCATGTGCTATACAATAATGTCATGTTAGTGCATTTTATCAATAAACCGCATTTTAATGACATCATTTTGGCACATTTTAGAGTGAAACTATGTGCCAATGATCATGTCATTTTGCTGTATAAATTTTTTTTTATAAATTCATAGGCTATTGTTAAAAAATGACATTATTTTCCATAAAAAAATATCTTATTGAGCTGAAACATTTTAGATGCGATAGAATGTGGCAGATTATGCAAGAAAAAACATCTAACATGTTTGCGGTTCTCAGGTGAGAACATCCATCACTCCCGTACCGCCAGTGGGCAGTTTCTCTAAGGACGGATATTCCGATCCTAACTGTATCTTATAAGATATAGTTTTTTATTATGAAATTTTTCATCAGTATAATGTTTGTTTTGCAGGCCAATTAATGAGGAAAATGTTTGTAATTTTGCACATTTTATGAGGAAAATGTTTGTAATTTTGCATATTTAATGAGGAAAATTTTTGTAATTTTGCACATTTTATGAGGAAAATGTTTGTAATTTTGCACATTTTATGAGGAAAATGTTTGGAATTTTACACATTTTATGAGGAAAATGTTTGGAATTTTGCACATTTTATGAGGAAAATGTTTGGAATTTTACACATTTTATGAGGAAAATGTTTGGAATTTTACACATTTTATGAGGAAAATGTTTGGAATTTTGCCCTTTTTATGAGGAAAATGTTTGGAATTTTACACATTTTATGAGGAAAATTTTTGTAATTTTGCACATTTTATGAGGAAAATGTTTGGAATTTTACACATTTTATGAGGAAAATGTTTGGAATTTTACACATTTTATGAGGAAAATGTTTGGAATTTTACAAATTTTATGAGGAAAATGTTTGGAATTCTAGAACAACATTTTGAAGAATTGAAGTGGTTTTGAAGTGTGCCCTTTGTGGCTGAGGGGTTGCCTTTATCGATTGAGGTATAAGAATTGCAGTCATCATGTTTATCCTTGCATGAGCGATTGAGGCGGCTATATGGCTTCAAATAAATGGAAACTTAATGCATTTCTTGGCTCAAGCAGGTGAGTTGGTTTTGACCCAGGTGTTGCTTTGAAGTTTGTTACACCCAAGGTTAGCCACAATCACCTTTTCAGTTTCAAGGCCATATGACCTAGACTGTGTTGATGTGCCAAAAAGCAAACAAACAAACAAACAAACAGACAAGCTGTAGTTGAGATAATATCTGATGAAGTACATTTCACATTTTAATTAATTAAACAAATTGAAAATGTTATCTTGTAAGCCTATATAATATCAAATTATATTTCATTTAGATGCAGGTTCTATTTGTGATCCAGAGCGTAACATATGTAATGGAGGCACTTGTTTTGAATTACCAAGCAAATATGATCCAAATTTCAATTTTATTTGCTCATGTCCACTTGGAAAAACTGGAAAGCTTTGTCAACGAGGTAACTACTGCGTTTTAAATGGTTTTTGAAAAATTTATATGATGTTTTCAGTGAAACAATTAATAGGAATTGAAAATTCCATTATGTTATACATGTGTGTGTGTTTGGGTTTGTTTACCCTCGCCACCGGAAAGAGACCATATGGGCGAGCATATACTTCATTTATAACCTTTTAAAAAGGGGGAGCTGATGTTTAATTACTTATTGTTATATCCGTACATGTGTTTATGTGCATACCATATCCCCCATGACAGGGTAGTCTCTACGTACAACCTCTGCCATGGGAGGAAGATGGGGCAATCCCATACTAAGATTAAGAATTCTAAAATTAAATTATTAAAAAGCACTTATTTTAAAATTGGCCAAGACGTTTATACAAGTTACCGTCTTTTATAACAGGTCTATCTTATATTTAGTATAACTAAAAAATTTTTAAAATATTACCTATATTGTAGAGTTCGCATACTTGCGAAGAAGGCATGTCAGGAACGTTTTCTGACCAATTCATTGTGGACTGCTGTTATTTATGTTGGTTTCTATTTAAATGTTATAAACCGTATACATTGGGATGCATATAGTTAATTACATGTTTGTAATTAGCACAGTTTGTTTTAAATTTTGTAATTTTTGTAAGTTCTACCGAACACCCGCTTTATAAAGTTAATTTTGATTGGTTTAGAGAGGATTGCCTCCTTTGTTCTCATTGGCCGAAAATTCTCTGTTTACAAAATAAGGAGGTCAATCCGGTTTTGTGATAATTTGCAAATTTTCTTAATTTTCGGATTGACCTATATCGACAAGTTTGTCGCGCGAACGTGATAGAGATTTAGCAGGTGCCCGTTGCATCCAATGTATACGTGTTTTTACCAACTTTATTTCAAAATTAAAACAAATATGAAAGTTAAAATGTGGTGGAAACGGCCTTATCTATTTATCACTGTCTCATGGTCTATAAATTATTATGCATCTAGATATCACACATAATAATTAATCTTCTATTACTTGAACAATTCATAGAAGAATAAGAGAAAATCTAAGTCCCAAATATGGCTAATAATAATAACTTGGTTACCCATAATGTGATGAGATAGTCTTTATGTAACATATTTAAGAAAATCTCATGCTTGAGTGAACCCGTGATAAACGTATTGCTCCATATGGGGGCACGGGTTCACGTTTACTAGTATTAAGGATACTAGTTTATATATACAGGAATAAAAAAGATAGATAAAAAATAACACGGGGCGGGGGGCAAAGGGATATATACAATATGGAGTCTTTTTTGACATTATGGGTAATCTGTAGCCAGCACCTCCCAATTTTGATAATAACCATGAGACTGTATGGTAAAAATAGTCTAGTGCACAGCCTATTTAAGAAATTATTCAATTAAAATTACATAGCAATAAAATTACAAAATAAATAAATAAATAAACTTCTCAATAGCACCGTTTCACGGCCACTTATTAGGGCCACTTTTAAAAATAAACACTTAAAATAGGTTTTGTACACTTTATACAATGGCTGTGCACTGACTCAAAAATTTAAAACGTAAAAATATATGGTCGAAACTTACATACAGTATCCTATACTGTAGTATATAACTTAGGCAACTACCTCTCGCGTAATGTTAATATGTTCGCGTCTTAACCTAATACATCAAAAAGTTTTGTCTAGTTAGACTACCTTGTATTTATCTTGTAAAGTTTCATTTTACGGCATTGATTATATCTTAATACATGCCAATATTATAATGTTGATGTTAAGGGGCCAGTTACACAGACGGTCGGTCCCCAATCGGTCATTTCATTTAAATTTACTGGCTGTTATGATCGGTTGTCATGCGTGATTTTATTTCTGGTTTTCTGTGTAAACGGCCATCGGTGACAGAAAGCAAACTCAAATGAGGTTGGGTCGGTGATAAAAATGCTGAAATACTATCGGTTTTTATCGTTTGTAAATCGGAGCTAAATCGGGCGTAACGCTGATTAATCGGTGTTTGATAGCTAGTCATAAGTGGTTAAACACTTTCTGTCAGATATGGTTGGTGATTCATATTTGGTTATCTTTGTCCGATCGGCGATATCGGTGATTAAGAGCTTGCATATCTCGTGATATAGGTTGCTGTCGGTTATTTGTAAAATATTTTCACCGATCGAGAATTTTAAACATGTTTAAAAATCCCAATCGGTGATTTTTAACCGATGAAACTTATCTTTCCCTAAAAGCAGTTGATAGGTGGAAAACAGGTGGCCAATAGGTGATATAGGTGTTAAATACGTTGTCATCGGTTCACTCCATAATTTGGCTAAAAAAACTACTGATCAATCACCGATGGTTCTGTGTAACTGGGGTGTAAAGGGACTCCACTGAGGTTTTTTGACATGATGGGACTGAAAATATTTTTTCCAGATAAATGTACCATTTGATGTAATGACTGTCATACACCACCATGCCACCAATATAGGATTGTCAGCCAGGATCTGTAAGCAATCTGATCAGACTAAAACATTGGCTGTTAAAGGGACTCCAATGAGGTTTTTTTTTTTACATGACGAAACTGGATATAATGTTCCGAGATTAATGTTCCATTTGATATAGGTCTAGACCAATAACATGTGTGCAAAAATTCAGATTACATTGTATTTTGCTTACTCCTTTTTTCCAAGAATAGTTATTTTTACTGTGAAAACAACCAAAAATTGAAAAGAGTTGCAATGCTTTTCAAATTTTCACTCATTAAATTGAGTTCAAGGAATAGCACAAAAATACGATTTTCAATTTATTTCTGAGCATTTTTCCGATACGCATATGCTTATTTTTCATATCTATTTGTTTTAAATGTCTTAGCTAAATTTTGTAAGAAATTCAAATCTTATATTTTGGCTTTTGGACCTCAGTGGAATTCCTTTAATTTTTTTTTTTTATCAGTTCCATTGCTAGCTTTACTATTATATTTATATGATAGGGATAGCTAGTCTACACACCCTGGCATTGTTGTTACACTTTTGGTTAAGTTTTTTTGTACCACACCTATTATTTAAGTTCTACATGATAAGATATTAAAATGAGCAAACAGAAATGATGTAAGATCACCATAGATTTTGACAAAATTATGCCCCTTTTTTAGTTTGGTTTAGTTTTTCATAGCATACTCACTTATTTCCTGGGAGGTATTGCTTTGAAACTTTAAATTCTAATTACTGACCAACATCCCCACTTCAAGACAAGAGGACATAACTCTGTCATGGATTTTGACCAAATTATGCCCCTTTTTGTACTTAAAATTTTATTTAGGTTGTCCAATTTTCCCACTTATTTTCTGTACCCTTTCAGGTATTGTTTTGAAACTTTAAAAACTTGTTTAAGTGTTCATCATTCCCACTTCTAGGCAACTTCTTATAATAGTCAGGTTTGCTGTTTCATGGACAGCTCTTGTTGATATTTTGTTATATTGAAATTCCTTAAAATAAAATATGAACTGTTCCTTATTCAAAACATGGTAAGTCTATTCCATAAATTTGGCATATTAAAGGTGAAAGGAAATGTGTTTCTATTTTTAGAAATGTTAGAATGTTATCATTGTAAGGACAGTGGAAGAAGAGATTGTATTGGCTTACCAGATGGAACTGCTGTGTGTGTTTGCCTGGATTTGGAGAACCCCAAAAAACATCTAGGACGTCCTCCATTGATATGCTACTACAAAAGATTTCATAAGGGTAAGTTTTATGAATAATTTGTACTCTGATAATGGAAAAAATTTAAGGTTACTCAGAATTTCATTTTGTTCAATTGTGTTGGAAGTTACAGGCTTAAAATTATCACACTTATGAATCTGTTCCTGAATCAACTTGTAGTGAGCAATATGATCAGAGGCAAATAAATGACATTGAAAATCTTTGTTTTCATTTGCAGAGGACCAGGGTGAATGCAAAGATGACAACGATAAATGTAGAAGAGGCAAGAAATGTGTTAACTATCAACAGTTTCCAAATAGACCCTGGGTGGCATGTCAGTGTCAGGCAGGTGAAAAACGAGGGGAACACTGTGAAAATGGTAATATATATTGACTCAGAATCAAATTGTTTTTGTCGAACATATAATTCTGAATTTACTTGCTAGAATATAGATAGGACTTGTTATGTTCAATAAAATATTTTTAAGGTCTTTTTAAGATAAATCTAAGATTCCATTCCTAGAATTAAATATGTTGATAATTAATTTAACATTTTGAACGCGACACTGACTTGAATGACATATATGCCTGAAATAAGTTTACACGCCGGCCAGCTTGCACATCTTTGCCATCTGACAGGATACTTTTCTGATTGCTGCTTAACTTTAGTATTTTGATATTGAGACCCCTCAAAATAACAATCAACTGTTCCAAAATTAAAGAATGACAAGTCCATTATTGATATTCAGCAGTGTTGGGTTTAAAAATATGCTTTAAACCTGTCAAAATAGTGAAAGCATATGAGCCGCGTCATGACAAAACCAACGTAATGCGTTTGCGACCAGCATGGATCCAGACCAGCCTGCGCTTCCGCGCAGTCTGATCAGGATCCATGCTGTTCGCTATCAGTTTCTTTACTTGTAATAGGGTTGGTAAGTGAACAGCATGGATCCTGATCAGACTGCGCGGATGCGCAGCCTGGTCTGGATCTATGCTGGTCGCAAACCCATTGTGTTGGTTTTGTCATGAAGTGGCTCATATATGTTATAACATGCTTTTATAAATTTTTGTGTAGATTATGTGTTTGACAGACCAAGTGGGCGTTTATTCTGTATAGACACACTGGTTTATGGGCCACTCTGCATGTGTAACAGGTATGGGGATTATGGCTTTTGCATTCCGCTGCTGAAAAAGACACCTGGCATGAAAACAGATAAAAGTGGTGAAATAACAGCTGCAAAACCTGGTGAGTGCTTTTCAAGTTATTACTGTTTTATGTTACACTTGCTTTGAATAATTACTCTGGAATTTTTATGTTACAGTTTTTACAATGAAGTCACGTAAAATACTTATGAACTGTTATAAATAGAGAATTGCTCCATAATTTTGCAAATGTGGGTCTTCCCAATTTAATCCTGAGGAACAAAAAAACTTTATCAGCTTGGTTGATAATTATTTATATTTGTACTAAGTGCAACCTGTTAATCACTCTTTTGAATAGCAGTGAATTTATAATGAAGTTATAGTGATATTAGTTAGTTTGTTTCCCTAGATTAGAAAATCTCATGTTTGTTGAGTTCAGAATAACATCATTTCAAATATCAAATTTGTCAAAACTAATTCATACAAAGTTTTAAAAATTACATAGTTGTTCTGTTGTATAAACACAATAAACATAAGATTAAAAATTTGTTAGAGAAGTTCTTTTGAAAAGAAGTATTAAATCTATAAAAGGTTTAGAAAATACACTTTGTCTAAATTCTACATACTTGGTAAAATATATGAGCCGTGTCACGACAAAACCAACATAATGGGTTTGCGACCAGCATGGATCCAGACCAGCCTGCGTGTCCGCGCAGTCTGATCAGGATCCATGCTGTTCGCTTACCAACCCTATTACATGTAGAGAAACTGATAGCGAACAGCATGGATCCTGATCAGACTGCGCGGATGTGCAGGCTGGTCTGGATCCATGCTGGTCGCAAACCCATTATGTTGGTTTTGTCATGACGTGGCTCATATATCTGTTGTGTTTATTACTGGGATATTACATGTATGAAGTTGAAGATTATTTTATGCTCGCTACAGTTTCCCCATGTAAAGCTAGCAGAAATATCTGTAAGAGAGGGACATGTATGGAGGAGAAGAGCGATCAAGTTCCAAGTTTTGCCTTCATTTGCTCATGCCCTGTTGGGAAAACTGGAAAATTTTGTCAAGATAGTAAGTTTTTAACGAACCCTTGACAATATTGGTACATGTATTTTATATTGCACTGTTTATAATAATGAGCCGTGTCATGACAAAACCAACATAATGGCTTTGCGACCAGCATGGATCCAGACCAGCCTGCGCATCCGCGCAGTCTGATCATAATCCATGCTGTTTGCTTACAAACTCTATAACAAGTAGAGAAACTGATAGTGAACAGCATGGATCCTGATCAGACTGCGTGTATGCGCAGGCTGGTCTGGATTCATGCTGGTCGCAAACCCATTATGTTGGTTTTGTCGTGACCTGGCTCAATTGTTAAACTTAAAATCAAAGAAAACTGATGAGACTGGATTCTTAATACTGAGCGAATGATGCCTGAAAAAAAATGTTATTATGCTGAAATTATAAATATCAAAAGTACCAAATCAAGCAGTATGAAAAAATATTGCCTTAAAAAATATTTTGACAAGAATTGTTTTAAGGTTGTTGAACTCTTAGCTGGCAACAACTAATTCTACCCATGAGACCACTCAGTGCAGGCAAAGATCAACAGCCAGTGCGTCTGCACTATTTACTATTCAGTCAGTACTTTTTTGAAATTTTACCCTGTAAATGATAAATGTTTTTTCTTCTGATTGAAAGATGAACATATATTGCATATAAGTGCAGCTGCACTTAATTTGCATCCTCAGTGCTCTCAGTGCTTTGATTTGCCGTAAACAGACTATTCCAAAGCACCTGATGTTTTTGTGCATACTAAACTGTTTTTGTGAAGCATATAGTTTCAAGTTGCCAATCCTAATAAACTTAATTACTCATGTACTTATAGTTTTTATTTGTTTGGGTTGTCAGACCAAACAAATAATGGTAGCGAAATTTCAGACTCTAATGCTGTTAATTGCAAGTGCCGAAAGTAGTCCGCTTTTTTTAAGCGGTTACTTCCCTTTAGATGTAAACTAACGCCGAAAAATTCAGGGGAGATCACTGTGTAAAGATGGTCAAATGACAGGCGCATTAATTTTCAAGCAAAACAATTCCTGAATGGTCAAAGATTTCTAATATTGTTTTATTCTTTATAGATATAAATGCTTATAGTAAGCTCCATGATTATTTACATGTTAAACAACAGTTAGCGTCGTTACAAACCGTAATATAGAATAATATAGTTTTCTTCAGGCCGTTAACAAGTAAATTCACCGTGGCCGAGGGGTTTGCGAGCTCACTTAGGAAGCAAGAGGTCTGGAGTTCAAATCCCAGCAACTCATTTTTTTTCAAATTGTTTAAGGTGACAACAGACACTTTCCGTGGTACTCACAAATATGTCATTTAAACCAAGTTATTTTAGTAATAATTGTTATTTATTTAATCTTTGTGCATTAAATGTCGTTGATCATCATAAAAAATAACATATTTGAAAAAAATGCCTTTGTAAATGATTGATTTTGAATAAAAATCCTAAAATTTTAAAACGTCATATCAAAGTCATTTTTTATTTTTTTGTCATCAAACTTTTGGAAAATAACCATACTTATATTATCTGGGGAACCGTGTCTCAAATTTTTTCTATCTTTTCTCAAAAAAATATTACGTAACGTCAAACATTTTATGCGGCTTTTTTCACCATACATATTAGGTAATTAAAGATAATTAAGTCGCTGATTAAGCAAACAAAAAATCCCTGACACGGTTCCCTCCGTAAATGAATTTTCCTTTCATGTGCTTTAAACCGCATGTTAATTGCTTGATTATTAAAAAAGTTATGCCGATTCAAAGTTAGTCCGACCCGCATCAAACGAAGTGTCATAAATCGGCTGTTCTTCTCGGACCCTACGTTTCACGCTAAATAATTGCATAATACACAAATATCGCACCAGAGAGGGTCACAAGTTGTGGTAACATACTCTAACAACATTTTTATGACCCAGTGACATCTGACCAATTAAAAAGCTGCTGATTAATATCAGTTTATAGCCGAAATTTCTTCAATTCTTAACGTGATTTACGATCCGTCTGGTATCTGTCGCACATTGTCACGTGACTATCGGTAAAATTTGAGGCACTCAGTGGGGGGAAATGGAACGCATTTGCGCACCGCTAGCGGGGTATTAATTAAATTGTTTCCTTTTTGAAGTTTATTATTATTATTCATCATCAGCATTATTATTGTATTATACCAGTGTCACTCTGCCTGTGTATTCGTGTATGAAATTCTGTTAAAATATAAAATAAAAATAACAAAAAACTGAGCTTCTGACAGTCTATTAAAGTCATGGTAAATGTACAAATAAGAACGGGATATTATATATTTTTCCCACCAAATTGATGATGCTTCACATATTTTAATAGAAATAAAAGGTATTACTCGATCATTATGATCTGGCCTTCTTGACTTCTATTTTGAATATCATCTATGCACGGCATAGAGATCCAGTTTCTACCGGGATAGACAATAAATTTCATACTTTGTCCCAGATTTATTAGTACTGTGTCCGATTTACTGGCGAACAATTTATTTTTCACTGAGAATATATTTTAACATCTTTTTTATAGAGAAATAATCATCCTTAGACAATCCAAAATGGTTTTAGAAATTTGTCAGGGACACCTTACCACAAGTCATATATATATATAGGCGTTCACATAAAAAATGTTGTCTGTTTTTGTTGTTGTTTTACTTCACATTGTTAGAAAACGAGGTTGAATGTAAAGTAAGCCCTTGAATCTGTACATAAGTCTATCAACTCAATGTAATATATATCAGATTAACGGGACAGACAAATTATTTTCACACATTATGGATATTTTAGCAACTACATTTTTAATCGACCCCGTGGTCGTGCGATTTGCCGCTATGCTTAAATTATTTATGTTCAATACATTATGTTACGTACATTGGCCGACACTTTCTTAATTTATAAAAAAGGCTAAATGTTTTAGATATTCATAAAAGATGTACGGTAGTTTGTACGATACATGTATTACGTGAAGTATGGACCAGTATGGACCTGTAATTCACGGATATATGGAACTACCGATTTCCCTCATTGATGCCTCAACAGGGGGCGGAGCGTTATCGATAATCGACAGGTTAGGCGAATAGCAGATACAAATAGTATAGGTACCGTTTTAAAACGTTTAAAAACACCATTTTTTGGAACTAACTGCTTCCAAAATTAAATCACGAATGTGTTCAGAAAAGGTTGATAAATCTTCTTAGCAAAAAATCTCATTTTAGGTATTTTCAGTGATAATTGACTCCGTTGTCACCTTAAGTCAAATAAACATTGTTTAAATTAGTCTTATAGCAAACTTACTACAATTAAAATGCTGGAAAGCATTGGTGGCACTTTACAAAAACAAATAGGTTTATAATCTCACAACCTTCACCTTTCTGATATTCTTAGACCCAAACAAATTCAGCGCCTTTTGTGCTTTGATTTTTATCTCATCTATATTTTATTTACTCATATTTTTTACTTCCCAAAGTGTTAGTACCATCTATTGACCACTACCATTTGAGTAATACTCATGTTGATGAGGTCAAGGTCATTATGACTTCAAACATATAGATTTGCCCTTGTTCATGCATTCTTTTGCCCTGCTGTCATGTTGTTTGTTCATAGACTGACAACACAGTGAAGTGTGGAAATGTATGAGAATGTGTGGACATCTGCGTTATATAAATACATTTTTTAGTTGAAATGGTAAGGCAATGGTATAAGCATTGTTGAGGAGCATCCATCTTGCAGTTGTGTCACTAATATTTAATCTTGTGTTTTACAGAAATGTTAGAATGTTTTCATTGCAAGAACAAGGCAAGACGAGATTGTATAGGTTTACCGGATGGTACAGGAACGTGCGTGTGTCTTGAATTGGAGGATCGCAAAAAGAAATTAGGGACGCCACCGTTGATATGCTATTATAAAACGTTCTTTCTTCGTAAGTGATGCTAATTTTAGATATTTCAACATGACTTTTCAGTTTTATTTAATCAGTAGGAGAAAAAAATCTGTATGATTTATTGATTGTAAAAAGCGAATTGATTTTCCAATAACTATAACATGTGAAATTTCTATATTTGTCTTCATTGTTATTGATTTAATAAGAAAAAAAATGAATACAAGCCATTTAATGTATACATGTAAGATAATTTGTAAGTCTGAACTTTAAATGTTTGTATATGATTTACCAAAAACATAAAAAAAAAGTTTGTTATTGAGAACTATTCGAGCCGTGTCATGACAAAACCAACATAATGGGTTTGCGACCAGCATGGATCCAGACCAGCCTGCGCATCCGCGCAGTCTGATCAGGATCCATGCTGTTCGCTTACAAATCCTATTAGAAGTAGAGAAACTGATAGCGAACAGCATGGATCCTGATCAGACTGCGCGGATGTGCAGGCTGGTCTGGATCCATGCTGGTCCCAAACCCATTATGTTGGTTTTGTCATGACACGGCTCATTTTGATTTATTTATATCATGGCAGTGAGCATTCTACAAATTACTTAGACATTAAAATACTAATTTTCTTTCCTTAAAAGCTCTATTAACAAAATACTGGAAATCACAAACTTACAGGGCATGAATGATGAAGTTTGTATTTTTCTATAGACTGGCAGAAAAGATGCAAACCAGGTCGATATGAATGTTCTACAGGCAAACAGTGTAGGAACTATGGTCAATATAAGGATAGGGACTGGATGGCATGTGAGTGTGAAGCCGGGAAAAAACGTGGGGAATTTTGTCATAAGGGTAAGTACTGTAATTTTTATTTCAATTTCAAACACCCCAAGTTTCTTATGCCGTCACCTTACTTTAGGGGTGGGGGTGCTTCTAGATTTGCACTTATCTGTTTGTTTTGCTGTTATTGTATGTTGGTAGACTGAATGAAACAGTGAAATGTGTCGGCATGTGTGTCAATTATAAAACACATTTCCTAGATGAGATGTATTCTATAGTTCCTAAATTGTGTTGCTAATTATCCCCTTAGGAAAATGGTCTGCAAGTATCCATAGACAGAAAAAAATACAACATTTCGAGACTTTGGTTATAAAGTGTTGATTGACATTTATATTATTAATCTTTGATCTTTGCTTTGATGATGGCCAATTTTTTTTTAAGAGCCATAGACATTGACAATGTGTTTTTCAAAGTCTCTACCTTGGAGACTTTCTCAAATGATTTAATGTTTTAAACACTTATTCTATAGCTTGTATGAAAATTTATATGAGCCGCGTCTCGACAAAACCAGCGTAATGCGTTTGCGACCAGCATGGATCCAGACCAGCCTGCGCATCCGCGTAGTCTGATCAGGATCCATGCTATTTGCTAATACAAACCGGCTATTACAAGTAAAGAACTGATAGTGAACAGCATGGATCCTGATGAGACTGAGCAGATGCTCAGGCTTGTCTGGATCCATGCTGGTCACAAACGCATTACTTTGGTTTTGTCGTGACACGGCTCATATATACATGTCTTCAGATTATGTGATTGATAGACCAGGAGGAAAGAACTTCTGTGTTGACACATTGCTATATGGGCCAATTTGCATGTGTAACAAATACCACGGAGGAGAGTACGGATTTTGTATTCCTGATCTCGCAGAAACTGCTGGGTATACACTGATACAAAAAGAGGTTACTGCTCTTGTCAAATCTAGTAAGTTTAAGAAACAAATATTTGAACAGCCCTTGAGGAATACCTTTTTACATTGTATATAATTGTCAAAAATTTGTTGATTGATATATAGCCTATGCATAATAGATTTTTATGCCCCCACAATGTGGGAGCATATAGCGTTGCACTTGTCCGTCCGTCCGTCAATCCGTCAGTCAGTCAGTCAGTCAGTCCGTCCGTCCGTACGTCCCGAAATCTTGTGAACGCAACTCCTCTTAAACCGGATGGCAGATTTTGCTTAAACTTACAGGGATGAACAACCTTAATGTGTAGATGGTAGTAAAGGAAGCAATTTTCGCTGCGACCAAATTTAACAGAATTATGGCCCTTTGTTGATTTTTTGACTAGATACTATGTAGAAATTTTGTGAACGCAACTCCTCTTAAACCGGATGGCAGATTTTGCTTAAACTTACAGGGATGAACAATTTTAATGTGTAGATGGTAGTAAAGTGAGGAATTTTTGCTGCAACCAAATTTAACAGAATTATGGCCCTTTGTTGATTTTTTCACTATATACTATGTAGAAATTTTGTGAATGCAACTCCTCTTAAACCGGATGGCAGATTTTGCTTAAACTTCCAGGGATGAACAACCTTAATGTGTAGATGGTAGTAAAGGAAGGAATTTTTGCTGCGACCAAATTTAACAGAATTATGGCCCTTTGTTGATTTTTTGACTATATACTATGTAGAAATTTTTTGAACGCAACTCCTCTTAAACCGGGTGGCAGATTTTGCTTAAACTTACAGGGATGAACAAAATTAGGGTTTAGATGGTAGTAAAGGAATGAATTTTCGCTGCGACCAAATTTTACAGAATTATGGCCCTTTGTTGATTTTTTCAATATATACTATGTAGAAATTTTGTGAATGCAACTCCTCTTAAACCGGATGGCAGATTTTGCTTAAACTTCCAGGGATTAACAACCTTAATGTGTAGATGGTAGTAAAGGAAGGAATTTTTGCTGCGACCAAATTTAACAGAATAATGGCCCTTTGTTGATTTTTAGTTTTCAACTTGTGGCACATGTAGTCCAAAAAATATTTGACCTAGACTCATAAGATTGACAGAACAGTGGCGTGTGGGGGCATCCCTGTCCTATGGACACATTTCTAGTTTTATATCGTAAAGAAAAAAATTGATTTGTTTTTAAACATAATAAGAAACTTATAATAAACTGTTATTGTACTGTTTAAAAAAAAGGAGTATAAAAGTGACTAGAATGATAAACTATTGACATGTATTGATGTTGAAAAGGGTATGTATATTATAACTGTGAATATATAGTTGGGGGTGTCCATAGCTGAGTGATTTTGGTTGTTCACTAAAATGATATCACCTGGCCCTCACAGCTTTGGGTTTGAATTCCAAGAGGACTTCGGATGATGGTTCTAGTCAAATGTCCATTTGTGTCTGAAATAAAGCACAGAGGGGCATCTGGACTCTTCTTCCACCAGTAAAGCTGGAAAGTCAACAAAATTATGATCTTTACAATTGCGGTGTGACTATTTAATGAATATTTTCATTTCACATCAAAGTCTTTGCATCTTATTCAAAACTGTACATTTTTTGTGACTTTCAGCTTTGTTTCAAACATGCTTATTTTTATATTTAAGACTCTCATTTTATATTAAAGGTTCGCCATGTACATCAGGTCGTGATATTTGCAGAAAAGGAAAATGTTACGAATTACCAAGTAAAACAAGGCCAAGCTTTGATTTTATTTGCTCATGTCCTGCCGGAAAAATGGGGAAATTATGTCAACGAAGTATTATTCTGTTACACATTTTTGTGCCCCCACTTTAGTGGCAGGCATTTAGATTTACCCTTGTCCGTACGTCCTTCCTTCCGTCCATCCGTTCTCTTTTGTGCCGCACGTAACTCAAATAGTATTTGACCTAGGGTCATGAAACTTAACAGGAATGTTGATCAGCAGGTGTAGTTGTGCATCTGGGTACTTTTGTCTGGATATTTTTAGTATTTTTAGAGTTATTGCCCTTGACTAAGTAAAATTTTGCAATTTTCAACTTGTGTCGCATGTAACTCAAAAAGTATTTGACCTAGAGTCATGAAACTTTACAGGAATGTTGATCAGCATGTGTAGTTGTGCACCTGGGTATTTTCGTCTGGATTTATTTAGTATTTTTAGAGTTTTTGCCCTTGAATTAGTAAAATTTTGCAATTTTCAACTTGTGTCGCATGTAACTCAAAAAGTATTTGACCTACAGTCATGAAACTTTACAGGAATGTTGATCAGCATGTGTAGTTGTGCACCGGATATTTTCGATTGGATTTATTTTGTATTTTTAGAGTTATTGCCCTTGACTTAGTAAAATTTTGCAATTTTCAACTTGTGTTGCATGTAATTCAAAAAGGATTTGACCTAGAGTCATTAAACCTTATGGGAAGGTTGCTCAACATATTTAGTTTTGCACCTGGGGTTTAGCTTGTGGATTTATCCAGTATTTGTAGAGTTATTTCCCTTGACTTAGTAAAAACCGTTTCATTATGTTGTTATTTGTTCCTTGAGTGCTTGAGTTAGAATCAACGAACTGTACAGGAATAATGATCAACATCACTAAATTACAGGAATAATGATTCACATCACTGTGAAGCTATGCACCTGGGACTTTGCATGTGGATTTTTTTCAGTTTTTAGAGTTATTGCCTTTGACTTACAGTAGTATAAATTTGCAATTTTCAACTTGTTCATGCATAGCTCAAAAAGTATTTCACTTGTAGGCCTGAAAGTTTAAAAGAATGTTGATCAGCATGTGTACTTATGCACCTTGGGGTTTGCTTGTGGATTTATTCAGTATTTGTAAAGTTCTTGCCCTTTACTTAGTAAAAGATTTTTAGTTTTCAAAAAACATTTGACCTAGAGTCATAAGATTGACAGAACAGTGGCGCGGTGGGGGCACCCGTGTCCTATGGACACATTTCTAGTTTAAAATAAATTCAGAAATATTAAAATAAAAATTGCTTGTATATTTCTGATAATTACACAATTAACATCCTGTCTTTGTACAGTATATAGTTAAAGTGTTTTCTCTTATAAAAACAACTGATAAATATAAACAAGGCTTCATTTTTTATTATTTATATGTGGTTTTTTTTGTATAAGGACTTGTACATATAGATTTTTTTGATTACCATGAACATATTGTTAGAATACTTTTCTATTTTGTTTTATTTTAGAAATGTTAGAATGTTACCATTGTAAGAACAAGGCAAGGAGAGATTGTATTGGTTTACCTGACGGCAAGGCTGTTTGTATATGTCTAGAGTTAGAAGATCCTAAAAAGCATTTAGGAAAACCGCCATTAATTTGCTACTATAAACCTTTTAAACAAAGTGAGTAGAACTTCGATATAAAAAAACAAAAACAATTTTGTGAAAGTTTTTAATGTCAGCACAAAGTCATTTGTAGTCACCACCCCTTCTCCTAGGACATTGTTGGAAAAATTTAGCCAAAGATTTAAACTAAAATTATCTGTCTGTGCATTAATGCCAGGTCAGTGTATTTTTTCTTTGTTTTGGCTGCAAAAAATCAAGGGAAATTTTCATCTGGCTGCGCAAGGGCATTTAGCTAGTATTTTACCATAGATCTGTTTATCCTCTTTTGGTGTATTTGATTATTTAACAGACAGTAATGCTACAATTGACGTATGCATATTTGAATTTCTAATATATGTAAATGATTGATTCATTATTTATTTGATTTGTCATGAACTGCACATGAAGTTGTATCAAAATATATATGTATATCAATTTTTTTGAGTGATTTGTAAAAAATATTTTTAAAGTGAGTTAGATTTTTTAGCTCAGGTTTATTGAGATGCTTATTAAGATATAACATGGAAAATAGTATTGTCAAAACACAATGACATCTGCATATTCATGCATATTCACTATTTAGGAGAGAGGATGTGTAAGTAGCCGTATTTTAAGCTCAGTAGGTAGAGCTGGGGTATGGTATTCTGAGGTTCCCCGGTTCCAGTCCCGATCAGGCTGCACATTTTTCTCACCTTGTGACATTCATACCTTTTGCTAACGTAAAGATTTTGACATTTAGCGGAACAGGGAATATGCAGACGCCGCAAACACTGTTCTGAAGGGAAGGACTGTGTCAACTATCAACAGTATCCAAGAAGACCATGGGTTGCATGTGAATGTCTAGCTGGCAAAAAACGTGGAAAGCATTGTGAAGATGGTAAATAATTTGGTAAAACGAAACATTTTCGTGATAAAAGTTTCAAGATTCATGAAAATAATATTCATAGTGATAAGCTTGTCAAAGAACAAAGAAACTTTGATGTTTTTTTTATGATTTTTACTTTGTGTTTGAGCCTATATGCCAGCATTAGGTTACTTTCTTACCTGAACTTGAGGTTGCCCGTTTTTTTATTTTGTAAGTTCAAACAAAATATGAGCTTGATTTTGAATATACTTTCTTGTAATTTATACAAATCACATTAGAGTGTGCACGACATCCTGGAACTAACCTGTACTAGTGGTGCCATAGGGGAAGGAAACCTGTTCCTGACTTAAATAGGGTTTAAATCTACTATCCCTGGCTTTAGAGGCTAACCCCTTTACCCTAAGGCCACAATGCTCACTTTTAGCTTGACTGGTATATGTGTCGCAGGGTCAACAAATTTCACTATAACAAAAAAGTATGTCATGGTTCAAAACTGTTCACTATTTAAAAAGAAAATAGTGTAAGTGGCCAAATAGCTCAGTCGGTAAAGCCACGGTACGGTATTCCAAGGGTACTGGGTTCAAGTCCATGTCAGGTTGCTCATTTTTCTCACCATGATAACATATGTAGAGCTCAATTTCCTACTCATCCCAGCATCTACATCCATGTCCGCATCCAGTTTTCAGTTTTTATGCTGTGAAATATTTGACCACTATTTTATCATTTTCGTAACTGAAGAGATGGACTTCAGATTTCAAATTGTTATCTTTTCCATTAGAGCATAGAAATGTCTTTAAAACTTTTATTGACATGGTCACGGTGAAAAAATTGAGCATTTGAGTACTTTCATGATAATGATACAGAAATGTAATGCCATCAAAATTGATTTTTTTGTCTTCCTTTTTAGCTCACCTGTCACAAAGTGACAGGGTGAGCTTTTGTGATCGCTTTTTCGTCCGGCGTCCGTCCGTCCGGCGTCCGTCCGTAAACTTTTACTTTAAATTACATCTCCTCATAAACCACTAAGCCAATTTCATCCAAACTTCACAGGAATGTTCCTTTGGTGGTCACCTTTAAAAAATTGTTCAAAGAATTTAATTCCATGCAGAAACTCTGGTTGCCATGGCAACCGAAAGAAAAAACTTTAAATATCTTCTTTTAAAAAACCATAAGAGCTAGAGCTTAGATATTTGGCATGAAACATCTTCTAGTGAGTGTCTACCAAGTTTGTTCAAATTAAAAGCCCCTGGGGTCAAAATTGGCCCCGCCCCGGGGGGTCATTGATTTTCCCTATATGCATATAGTAAAAACTTAAAAAATCTTCTTTTAAAGAACCCAAGGAGCTAGAGCTTAGATATTTAGCATGAAATATGTTCTAATGGGTGTCTACCAAGTTTGTTCAAATAAAAGCCCTGGGGTCAAAATTGGCCCCGCCCCGGGGGTCATTGATTTTCCCTATATGCATATAGTAAAAACTTAAAAAATCTTCTTTTAACGAACTCAAAGAGCTATGGCTAAGATATTGAGCATCAAACATGTTCTAATAGGTGTCTACCAAGTTTGTTCAAATAAAAGCCCTGGGGTCAAAATTGGGCCCGCCCCAGGGGGTCATTGATTTTCCCTATATGCATATGGTAAAAACTTAAAAAATCTTCTTTTAAAGAACTCAAAGAGCTATGGCTAAGATATTTAGCATCAAACATGTTCTAATAGGTGTCTACCAAGTTTGTTCAAATAAAAGCCCTGGGGTCAAAATTGGCACCGCCCCGGGGGTCATTGATTTTCCTTATATGTGTATAGCAAAAACTTAAAAAATCTTCTTTGAAAAAACCCAAATTGCTAGAGTTAAGATATTAAGCATGAAACATCTTTTAGTGAGCGTCTACAAAGTTTGTTCAAATAAAAGACCTGGGGTCAAAATTGGCCCCGGCCGGAGGGTCATTGATTTTCTTTATATGTGTATAGCAAAAACTTAAAAAATCTTCTTTGCAAAAACCCAAATAGCTAGAGTTTAGATATTAAGCATGAAACATCTTCTAGTAATTGTCTACAAAGTTTGTTCAAATAAAAGCCCTGGGGTCAAAACTGGCCCGGCCCCAGGGGTGTCATTGTTTTTAACTATATGTGTATAGTAAAAACTTAAAAAAAATCTTCTTTTAAAAAGCCCAATGAGCTAAAGCTTAGCTGTTTAGCATGAAACATCTTCTTATGGGTGTCTACCAAGTTTGTGCAAATAAAAGCCCTTGGGTTAAATTGGTCCTGCAACGTTGGGGGGGGGGGGGTTGGGGGGGGGCCTATATACAGGTGAGCGACCTCAGGGCCATCATGGCCCTCTTGTTTGTGTACTGTATTTAATAAGTTGGGGATGCTGTCTCCTCTGACAGCTATTGTTAATTTTAACCCTTTCGCTGCCAGAGGGTTATTGTTTTATTGATCACCTATTTGCCAGAGGGTTTTCTAAGAAATTACTATATTATTAATTAATATAATTATAATTATTTGTTATTAGTATTATAATAATTATATATGTTTCCAAATCTGTTAGTATAATGATAATTATTGTCGATGGTATAATTTTCTTTATATTTTTTATTATTTTTATTATTATTAATATTAATTTATTATTATTATCAATATTATTATTGAAACGGAAAGCCGTCCATATGGCAAATACGCCGAAAATAACAGGGACTGCATAAGCCATCCTTATGGCAGTGAAGGGGTTAATTCTTCATATAAGAAATGTCTTGTTGTTGATTTTTTTGGCAATTTATATGCAATATCTTATGTAAGATTAGTTATTTCTGGACATGATTCTTGTGATAATTATCTAAAATACTTCTTGCCAAAGTGCATGTTTATCTTATATTCATGTACTAAGTATCACATTTAAATTATAATTGTTTAGATTACCTTGTGGTTGCACCTGGACGTAATTATTGTGTTGATACAATACGTCATGGACCAATCTGCATGTGTAGAAAATATCGTGGAGATGGCTTTGGGTTTTGTAAACCAAAACTGAAAGAGAAATCAGGTAAATTTTCACCCATACTTTAATGCAGGTGGAAACTGAATATACCCATGTGATCAGTACAGACCAAGATCAGCTTGCACATCTATGCTGTTTGATCATTGTCTGCATTGTTTGCTATTCAGTCAGTACATATTTTGAAATTTTCCCTATAAATTATGAATGGTTTCATCCAGATTGAAAGATGGACAAGGCCATTTAAGAAATTAAGCATGGTCAGCGTTTAATGTGATTAAATACTGATTGGATACCTGTTAAAATATTTTGAAGAGGAATTTTGCATTGCAGTAGATTTTTAAGTGATACTTATCAATTTTATCTAAATTATGTATATGCTTTGATCTATTTCTTAAAGCTACAAAGTACGTTTTGCTTTAAACCTTCAAAAAGATGTGAATTTTGTTAATAATTCATTAATAATTCCAACATAAATCTCTCTGTGCAAGGGGAAATAATAGCTCTGTTCCATGGTATCAAATCTATAGAGTAAGAAGTCTACACATTAGGTTATCTGTTTGACAGACAACCCTTGGCTATTTGCAATGTCACATGATACTTTTAACCCTTACCGAAAATGATAAGTCTTTGCCACCCTTTGTCTTTAACCCTTAGGCGAAAAATGATAAGTCTTTGCCATCAGTATAGAGCCGGGCCAGCCTGCACATCCGTGCAGTCTGACCAGGCTCTATACTGTTGGCTGGCCAACTTCAAATTTTCACCTTGATATACCTTAAATTGATAATGGACTGTTCCAGAATGGAAATTGGAAAAGTCCATTTAAGAAATTCAGCAGGTTAAGAGTTAAACCAGTGATAGATTTGACAACATTTGTAAAGGCAAACACAGCTTTAATGTGCAATATCCTGAACTGAAGTTATTGTTGTCACTCAGTGTTCAATTGAATAGACATGATTGAAATATTATTTTAAGATTCTGCCTGTGATGGGAATCATATTATATGCAAGGAAGGGAACTGTATAGAAGCAAAAAGTCGTAAGAAGGATACTCAATTTATATGCTCTTGTCCATTTGGGAAAACAGGAAAGCTATGTAATAGAGGTGAGTTCAGTTTGACTTACAACTACAATTTCAGTATTTTTAATTCGTTTTGTAAATATTGAGTTTACCTTTCTTTATATAAACTTAATTGTGGAGAAAGTCTGCAGTTTATTTGAACCACTTGTAAGTCTGCCACTAACTCACTGTACTGGTGTGATATGAAGAATCATTATATTTATGACCCCAGCAGGACTTGAACTAATTATCTCTTGGTTGAGGGGCAGGCACATTTACCACCAGGCCACTGCTTCACTAAAATGAAGAATTGCTTAACCCATTATGCGATATATACGCCTTTTAACGTCTCCCCCCCCCTTTTTTTTATGTTGTCTCAAATGGTGAAAAAATGCCTTATTTAAGCCCCCAACACTAATGTCTTTGTTTGAGAAATGTTGTTTAAAAAAAGTGACCACTTTTTTGGTGCGCCCCCCCCCCCCAACCAAAAGATACATCAGAGGGTTGCCAGAAGGGGGATGTGTGCCCCCTTCTGTTTGGGGGGTTTGAAGGGGGCAGCAGTCCCCCTCATCGCCAAGAAAATTTTGGACATGTGAGAGGCTAAAAATGACCCCAGATCGATCATTAAGTAAGGTGTAACCAACACTGAAAAGCATTTGACCCTATCTCAATCCATTGAGAAGTTGCAGCACTTTGAAATCAATTTTGATGGAAAAAATCAACGCAAAATAGTGATTTTTGACAATTTTGAGATGTCCCCTCGTTGCCATGATAACAGAAAATTTAAGCCTGAGCATGTTGTTGCAATGGCAATGGTCCAGTCAACATTTGTGCAAAGTTTGATTAGTAATGAAGCAGTTTTTATAGTTTTATAGCAATTTGAACTTGTAATGGGAGACTTTTCAATGAAAACAGCCATTTTTCACAAAATGCTCATGAAGTTATGGGTTAATGAATTTCCTAAATGAAAGTCTAGCTACATTTTATTCTAACATGAATTTAAGGTAATTCACAACATTGCAAATGCCATGCCTATGGTTTCTTTTCTCCAATGAATGCAAACTTTGTATCAGAATAATTGAAGATCGGACCAAAGGAAGAACAAAAATCCATACACTGGATTTTTTAAACTTAAAAACTAGTGGTCTTGATTTCCATGTTTTCCTTGTAGATATGCAAGAGTGTAGTAACTGCCGGGAATCAGCATTGACTGACTGTATTTCTCTACCAGATGGCACTGCTGTTTGTGTATGTGTTGAACTCAAGAAGAAAATGATTGCCGAGGAACCTGTTATTTGTTATTTCAATAAAGCAAAAGAACGTATGAATTGTTTTGTATATTTATCTTTGTATTGTTTGATGCTTTATCAGTCCAACTTATTAGAGTTGTCAAAAAGTCATTGAGATCAATTTTGATAGGGTACTGTAACAGTTTGATAGTAACAAACATAATAAGGCTAAAGTTTTTCATGAAACAGTTAAACCTTCACCATTTTGCTCTTGTTTGATAGTCCTTTAGTGGTTTTGAATTTAGAACTTTTCTTATTGTATTTAAAAGAGTGTAAAACTATAGCTTTTCATATATATATTCAGTATTTGCTTTGGAGGTAATATTAATGCTTAAATTTTTTATCAGATGAACAAAAGTTTTGCCAAGGTTGTGGTACCAATGAAAAATGTGTTATTTATGATGGGACATCAACATGCCAGTGTTCAGCTGGAGAGAAGCGTGGGAAAAAATGTAATAAAAGTGAGTAACTTTCTAAAAGGATTCTTCATACTTCAATGAAATAAATTCCATATTTTTCTAATTTGGGTTTTTTCATCAACAATAGAGGTCATATGGTGACTTTCCAGCTTTACTGGTGGAGGAAAACCTCAGGTGCACCTTCTTGCATTGTGAACCCCTTAATAGAACTCAAGTAAAAAGAAATTAAATTATAAAAAGTTACAAAGCAATGAAGACTAAAATCTTAACTTTTTTTGCACAACAGCAATGCAGATGTTGATTGTCTTGTTTATGTATTTCTGTTTCTGGCACATCAATAAAACAATAGAAAAATTTCTCACCTCTAATTGAGATATACAGTCGACATTGTATTAAGAGACCACTCAAGAGACTGCCAAAAAGTGGTCTCTTAATAAAGTGGTCTCTCAATAGAATTCTGGAAAATTCGAGACTTTTTTATATTACAAGTCATAGATATAATAACATCTTTTTATAATAACAAAAACTGTACAATATTATGTATGTATTACAGTTTCATAATTAAATTTATGCCTTTTTTAAAAAAAAGTCGTCAATATGTGTTTGTTTTTCTTTTTTAGTAGAAATTTGTGTACAAATGTGATCTACGCTCATAATACTATCAACAGGTCTTTTGACCATGAATCAAAGCATATTGTCTTATAATATTGTTAATTTGTTTATACCCATCTCCTGCTGAACATACTTTCAAATCATCAGCCAGAGCTCCAGATAATTTTTCATGCAATTAGTTTTAAACTTCTTGATTTTTTCAGCAATTAGTTTTTACACTACCTGATTTCAAATTCAATAAGTTTTTTAGAGATCTAGGATTTCTTTTCAATTTTTTTTTTTGTTGATGGGTCATATTTAATGGGGAACTACATGTATTTTATAAAGCATCAAATGAGCACCTACACCATCAGCAATGAAAGGCTTGGTTCTGTAATGTTATATCAACTACGTTTCACGATTTTTTTCCGACTACAAACAATGACATATGCTATTTACTCAGACTCAATTCAACGCACAATTTCCTCATTCTATTTATCGGTCTTTTTAGCTGTCTGTCATTTTTTTCGCTCATTCCAACGTCATTTTGATTTGATTTTTCTGGAAGACACGTTGCTCTGAGCACATGACAAAACTGTGCAAATGTGGTGTTGTAATACGTTATTGCTCTTACAAAATACGTCACAATAAATATTACGATATTATTTATAATATAAACAGTTTCTTTCTTTCCGATTTTGAAACGATTGCAATTGTTATTAAATTCGTTTTTAAACGACAAATTATTTGTGACGGTCGTTTAATAGATACGTTAACATCTAATTTTGTATATTTTGACCGACATTTAGTGGACGCTGGCCACGATATAAAATGTTGTTTAATGGAATTAACTTATAAAGTAAAAATCATCGTGAGGGATTTTATGCACCTGCTTAATAAAAAAGTCGCTTAATAAAGGTGGATGCAAGTACGTTGCCAACTGTATATCATATTTACTCAACAAACAAATGTCCTCTATGTCTCTGTGTAGAATTAAACCTTTGTTGAAATTTCTTGCAACCATTCCAGGTATTATGCATAAATTACTTTGTTTAAATTTAAATTTATTTTTCAGACTATGAAATAGTGACCGACCCGACATCATGTGTGGATACTAAGGGACATGGTCCAGTTTGTGTCTGTGATTTGTATGGAGGTGGCTTCAGCAAATTTGGCTTTTGCAAACCAAACTTAATGAAAAAGAAAAAACGGAGGAAAACAAAGCGTCGTCGTGGCAAAAGAGAATGTAAGATATGTGACGTTTAATTGAGATCATTGTCAGTTTGACTGCATGAAGATTTTTAGCTCACCTGTCACAAAGTGACAGGGTGAGCTTTTGTGATCGCTTTTCGTCCGGCGTCCCTCCGGCGTCCGTAAACTTTTACTTTAAATGACATCTCCTCATAAACAACCAAGCCAATTTCATCCAAACTTCACAGAAATGTTCCTTTGGTGGTCACCTTTGAAAATTGTTCAAAGAATTTAATTCCATGCAGAACTCTGGTTGCCATGGCAACCAAAAGAAAAAACTTTAAATATCTTCTTCTAAAAAACCCAAAGAGCTAGAGCTTAGATATTTGGCATGAAACATCTTCTAGTGAGTGTCTACCATGTTCTTTAAATAAAAGCCCTGGGGTCAAAATTGGCCCCGCCCCAAGGGGGTCATTGATTTTCCCAATATGCATATAGTAAAAACTTATTAAATCTTCTTTTAAAGAACCCAAAGAGCTAGAGCTAACATATTTAGCATGAAACATATGTTCTAATGGATGTCTACCAAGTTTGTTTAAATAAAAGCCCTGGGGTCAAAATTGGCCCTGCCCCGGGGGTCATTGATTTTCCTTATATGCGTATAGCAAAAACTTAAAAAAAATCTTTTTTGAAAAAAAAAAGAAATAGCTAAGGTTTAGATATTAAGCATGAAACATCTTCTAGTGAGTGTCTACCAAGTTTGTTCAAATAAAAGCCCTGGGGTCAAAATTGGCCCACCCCGGGGGTCATTCATTTTCCTTATATGTGTATAACAAAAACTTAAAAAATCTTCTTTGAAAAAACTCAAATAGCTAGAGTTTAGATATTAAGCATGAAACGTTTGCTAGTAAGTGTCTACAAAGATTGTTCAAATAAAAGCCCTGGGGTCAAAACTGGCCCTGCCCCAGGTGTGTCATTGTTTTTAACTATATGTGTAAAGAAAAAACTTAAAAATCTTCTTTGAAAAAACCCAAATAGCTAGAGTTTAGATATTAAGCATGAAACATTTGCTAGTAAGTGTCTACAAATATTGTTCAAATAAAAGCCCTGGGGTCAAAACTGGCCCTGCCCCTGCAGGTGTGTCATTGTTTTTAACTATATGTGTAAAGAAAAAACTTGAAAAAATCTTCTTTTAAAAAATCCAACGAGCTAGACCTTAGATGTTTAGCATGAAACATCTTTTAATGGGTGTCTACCAAGTTTGTTCAAATAAAAGCCCTGAGGTTTAAACTGGCCCGCTCCGGGGGCCTATATGCAGGTGAGCGACTTCAGGGCCATCATGGCCCTCTTGTTATATAATACTGCACATTTTTGAAACATCGTTTTTCAAGTGGATAATTGTGATGTTAGTATAATGGCATGGCTGCAGTCAATTTATGAATTGATTTAATGTTGTTTTTTTCTGAAAGTTTGCAGTACTATATTAAATTAGTTATAAAGATTCATTACAGGTTATATGGTTGTATATAAATGGTCATTTGCAATATAACCCTCTCTTTATGGCTGGGGTTACATGAGCCGCGCCTTGACAAAACCAACATAATGGGTTTGCGACCAGCATGGATCTAGACCAGCCTCCTCTGATCAGGATCCATGCTGTTCGCTTACCAACCCTATTACAAGTAGAGAAACTGATAGCAAACAGCATGGATCCTGATCAGACTGCGCGGATGCGCAGGCTGGTCTGGATCAATGCTGGTCGCAAACCCATTATGTTGGTTTTGTCATGACACGGCTCATATATAACCTGTCTATAAAGGACATTTCTTACCTATAATGTTTATACTGAATATTGAATATTTATTAGCTTAGATTTTATGTCCGTGTTGCAAAGTCTTAAAAGAATTTTAATAATAATTTCATTTGATAATATCTTAATACATGTACATGTATATTCCAGTGCCATCAAGGAATTCATCATCTGAACTAATGATAAGAAAAGGTATTTTACTCAACATATTTCAAATATTTCATCCTAATATTGTCATATTATTATATATAAAAACACAACAACATGTGCACTTGCCATTAAAAAATCATAAATTCATTTACAAAAAATTGCTGGAATATAATAATAAATTATATCTGTATCTGAAATAATAATATATAAAGAGGCACCTGGGCTTTTCCTTCACCAGTAAAAATGAAAAGTTGACAGTGTTCTTATGACAAAAACAACCCATCAACAATTGAAAATTAAAAATTCTTGGCATACATGTATGTTAAAACGGAATTTTAGTCTTAATAGAGTCAATTAACGATTGTAAGTAATATAATTATATGCAAACTTTTTTTTTTATATTTATATACTTTATATCAGTACTATACTGTACTCAGATAAAAATAAAAACAGGTATAATAAGACCGTACTAAATTTTGTCTTGCAGTGGCTTACAACAAATATTCAGCAGCTCTGAACACTCAAGGTAACTAGATGAATAGCTTGTTTGCTTTTTATGCCAATTTAACACATTTTTTTGGTCAGGTAGCACTCCACACTAAATTTCAAGTTTCTGCCAAGCAATATGTCTGATAAATCTGATCCCAAACTACACAACCTGGAAAAAGAAAACACATTTTGTTTAGAACATATATGTCATAACGTTGCAAATTTATAATGAAATCATCCCATGTGAAACAGTCGGGCAGTTAAAAAAATTCCAATTTATTCCGTGAAAGCCAAAAATCTATAGTGGACCGAGACCCAAAACAACATATTTCGTCCCTCCAGCAAAAAATACCTGCAAATATACGGGCTACAGAAACTCTGTTACTGCTTTAGCAACTCCCTATACATGCAAAATATCACAAAGAAATAGGTGCTTTGCCTTGTAGATTTTTTGCTATTGCTGAAAGTTTGTACCCCTCTGTAAAATTACTTGTTTTCACCAAGCATGCTGTTTAAAAGCAATGTTTACAAACAATGGCGGCCTTGACATCTATAATTAACAGCATGTGATTTCTAACCATGTTTTCGAATTTGCCAATGATCATATTACATGTCACAAAAACAAATTTCATGCTGAAAATGCACTTTAAAAACAACCAGTCATTTAAATCCACAATAGTCACTATATCCATGAAATCCACCCTCCCTGGCGCTTCAATTAGTGTGTTGTGCTGCCTCATGTCTACTGGACCTGCTTTCCTTGATATAACAAGTAATCAACGATTTCTTTGCAAGTGACCAACTACTAATCCCATGTAATTTCTAAATCATTGATAAGAGACAAATGACCATTGGATTAAATGTCTGGGATCACCTGTCACAGAAAAATTTCCCCTCACCCGAATATTGAACCGGGGACCCCGGGGGATTGCTTATCTGATGCTCTCCCTATTGAGCTAAGCTAAACAAGTATATCTTGTTTATATTAATATCGAAAGGCAACACTTAGTCTGTTTTAGACGTAACTTTTAAACAATATATAATTTTCAGAAAAATATTTTAGTTTAAGATATATATCTTTTATGTTGTTCAACAAACATACAACAAAAACATGTATATTATTCAAATTTGCTTTGCAGAAATACAGCCATTTTCTCCAGCTTTACCATCAAGCCATAGAGTAGGTAAGAAATATCTTTTTTGTTAAATTGATACAAAAAAAATTTAATTGTAAAAAGACAAAAATAATATGTACAGGATATTCAAGTTTTTTTCAAGACACCAGTGAAAATATGCAAAATATGTTTGACACTGCAGTCAAAAAAAAAAATTAAAGTGAAAATAAGGAAAATGGAAATACGCATTTTATCTCATCATTATTTCTCGATATTTCATTTATGTGTATGTGATAAATGAATTTAAGTCATACTAAGTTTAAAGGTAGTAATGTACATGCATACTTAAAAAAGTAAAATCATTGAAAAAATTAGTTTATCTATAATATACACTTTACCATAGTGTGTTTCAATTTTCATCTAATATTGACACTAAAGTTAAATTGAGCCGCATCACAACAAAACCAACATAATGGGTTTGCGACCAGCATGGATCCAGACCAGCCTGCGCATCCACGCAGTCTGATCAGGATCCATGCTGTTCGCTTACAAACTCTATAACAAGTAGAGAAACTGATACCGAACAGCATGGATCCTGATCAGACTGTGCGGATGCGCAGGCTGGTCTGGATCCATGCTGGTCGCAAACCCATTATGTTGGTTTTGTCGTGACGCGGCTCAATTCATTTTTTCCTCACCAAGCATTGGATTAAATAATTTCAATTAATCGGTTTTAAATTTTTACCAACAGTACGATCAGCAGGTAATCTTTCTTTGTTTTATTTGTTTCGTTTTATAAAGAATATATTTTAGTTTGTTGCTGATAACCACAATCTTGAACCTGTTCCTAGAATCAACCAGTACTAAGCAATGAATGAAAAGTTTCTTGCCGAAGGAAACAACAGCTTGCCTCTGATGGGGTTTGAACCCATCTAGCCAGCATTTCTTATTGTACTTATCCAAAGCATTAAACACTGCATGAGGCATTGCCACCATATTTGTTGTTTGTGTTACTTTTTTTCTATTATTTAAGACTTTGTACTATTTATCAAATGTTGAAAACAGATAACTCCTTCCTTATTGTGCTAGTAGTTAGGTTTGAATTGAAAGTTACCCTTAAATTGTATCTTTTATGTTTTTCAATATGAAATTTAAATTCATATTTTGAAATGGCATTGATGTTATATTATTATATGATATAATGTAGTAAAAAAAAATAAGAACCCACCTCTATATTCAAACTATTTTGTGTAAAGTTTAGAAATTTGTACAGTCATAATGTTACTAATAATTAAACTAGCCTAAAGCACATGCAACTCACTTTTATAAAAGGAATGTGTTAAAACAGGCAAAATAGCACTTATTCTATTAGAAACAGGGTAGAACATTGGTGAAAAATCACTATAATTCTACAAGAAACAGGGTAGAACATTGTGAAATAGCCACTAAAATCAGCCCAAATATTGTATTGAAACATGAAAAGGATTACATTGATTTAAAAATTTTATGCTTTTAATGAACCCTTAATGTATTTTGATTTAAGTTTCAGTTTTTTTAATTGTATACTTAATACCTGAAGTCATGCCACCGTAAGATGCATTTACCAAGTGCATGTAGATTTGCCACTTAGCTTTTAAAGTCAGTTGTGAAAAAATTGAACTGGTAGACTAGTGAGGGACCAATGGCACCAACTCAGTGACCTAATCCACTCAACCAATTAAGCATCTTACTTAACCTACTATAGAACTGGTTTTATTGGCTTAAGATTAATTGTAGCTTATTTTTGCAAATCAATTTCTTCACAAATCCATAGTTATTGTAAATAAACATTTTAGTCTGAAGTGGCCAATTTTTTTTTAATTTTGTTTAACAACACTTTTGGTTTTGAATTTGATGGTTACAATAATTCATGAATACAAAAAAAAAGAAAATTAAGCTTTTTGAACAAAATTTAAAAAAAACAACAAACAAACAAAAAAAAACCATGAAATTTAAACAAAGTGAATTTAAGTATTCTAGAGAATGATGATACAACTGATATTTGTATTTCAAAATATTAACGAAATATTTTATAATCATGACTTATGTTACTCGTAGGTTCTGAATGTAAATGCAAGGCTGGCAAATGTATAGGGGATGGTTCAGAGTTTATTTGCGCGTGTCCAACTGGAAGGACAGGAAGACTCTGTGAAAAAAGTATGTGTATTTTAATTTGAGCCGCGTCATGACAAAACCAACATTATGGGTTTGCGACCAGCATGGATCCAGACCAGCCTGCGCATCCGCGCAGTCTGATCAGGATCAATGCTGTTCGCTTACCAACTCTATAAAAATAGAGATACTGATAGCGAACAGCATGGATCCTGATCAGACTGCGCTGATGCGTAGGCTGGTCTGGATCCATGCTGGTCGCAAACCCATTATGTTGGTTTTGTCGTGACACGGCTCATTTGATAAAGTAAGTTTAGCAATTCTGATAATTTAAGAAAGATTTACTTGTAAATGTACATTTGTTTCAATAATTTATTTTCTGTATTTGGAATCTGTAAACAAATTAGAGGATAATTTTAAGAAATATGATTATTATTGTAGAACAGTTAGAATGTTACCACTGTAAGGACCCAGCACGGGCTGATTGTCTCGGCTTACCAGACGGCACGGGTGTGTGTATATGTCGAGAATTGGAAAATCGTAAAAAAAAATTGGGAAAACCGCCATTAATTTGCTATTATAAGATGTTAATAGAAAGTAAGTATTAATAGTAGTTATAGTGACTTTGATATTTATATGAAAAATCATCTCGGGTAAATGTTTTTGCATCTCTGTGATTGAAAAATACTATGTAATGTTTTGCTAAGGTATTTTTACAAGTAACAATAAAACTGAATATTATTTCTACAGTCTTCTACTTATTTAAATAGATTTGGCCTTCAAAAATGTCAATTCTTTTATTCATGGGTAAAATTGTTTATTTACTTTTAATAGAAATGTTGAAAATTGATAAACAGCCTATTGTGTTAAATTTGATGATTTTAAGCTTTATGACATGTTGAGTGTGAAATGTTTTGTACTAGCTAAGCTTAGTAAGCTTAATGTTGTTTCTTAACTCAGGAACAATCTCATGTCTTTAATAATGCCTACAGGGACATCTGAGGTCGTCCAAAGAAAAACCAGATAGTCGCCATCTGTCCTTAACACTGTTGTTGTGGCATAACCCAATCAACCAATCAATTATGTTCTGTAGTCTTTTAATAATCAATTAAATATTAGATACTTTCCCATTCAGATAAACAATATAAGTGTAAGTGGCGCAAGTTCAAATGTCCTGATGGAAAGAAATGTGTTAATTACGCGCAGCATAAAAATAGACCATGGGCGGCTTGTCAGTGTGAAGCGGGCAAGTTGCGTGGGCCAAATTGTAAAGACGGTAATGAAGTTACAAATTATTTGAGTAAATGTGTTATGAACGCTGCAAAATATATGCATATACAAGTGGCATTTGAAAATATCAAATCTGTATAATAAGTGTCAAGGAAATATTAGTAATATTATATAATTAACATGATATAAACATTTGAGCCGTGCCACGACAAAACCAACATAATGGATTTGCGACCAGCATGGATCCAGACCAGCCTGCGCAGTCTGATCAGGATCCATGCTGTTCGCTTACCAACCCTACTACAAGTAGAGAAAATATAGCGAACAGCATGGATCCTGGTGGTCGCAAACCCACTATGTTGGTTTTGTCGTGACGCGGCTCATTTATAGTTTTTTGTTAATTTATTACACTTGGTTATACAGTTTAAAGGAGACATTAAGTTTTGATTCTTCCTTTTTTCTCCAAAATTTTGGTTAAAACTAAATAATTGTCATATTTTGTTTCTTAGAAATTTGAAACTAACAAACTTGCAATATGGCATTTCACCTGTTCATTGTAACTATAGAATACTTGGAAGATACACCGTCATGGAAGTATTATTGTGTAGACACGCTGCTTTATGGTCCGGTCTGTATGTGTGCCGAGTACGGTGGAAGAAGTAAATACGGATTTTGTATTCCCAAAGTCGGACAGTCTTCCGGATACAAACTTATTAAAGGTCACCATACTGCACTCATAAAACCTGGTAGGTGTGTTACAATTTTAAACTAAACTGTTAGTGTTATGCATGTTAAATCTTAATTGTTCAAATGCTAGAACTAATTCTTTTACAGATTAAACAAGAAAACATGAAAATCAAACTCCACTGTGGTTCAAAAGCATAAAAACATAAAATAATTAATTAAAAATCTCTTGACATAGATCAGCAAAGAGGAAGATATGCAAAAAATAAATTTAAAAATATAATCAGAAATACAAATAAAAATCACATATTTTGGCTAAAATCTCAGTCTGATTTGAGTGATAAGCGCAGCAATGCTTTTCAATTTTTGGTGTTTTTTCACAACTGGAATAATTATTCTGGAAAAATGGAGTGAGTGAATGACCTGAAATTTTGCACACAAGTAATTGATCTAGATCTACGTCAAATGGAACATTAATCTCAAAATATTATTTCCAGTCCTGTCATGCCAAAAAACATCAGTGGAGTGAGTCCCTTTAAATCGTCATCCCTTTAAATCGTCATCATATATTATGAAAATTTCTCATAATCTGTTTCTGTAGAAAATTCCATAATTTCTTTATTTTGTTCTTGTTTTTCAGGACCTGTCTGTGAAATGAACAGAAATATATGTAATGGCGGAACATGTATAGAACTACCAAGTAAAGAGAAGCCTAATTTTGCATTTATTTGCTCGTGTCCGCTTGGAAAAATTGGAAACCTTTGTCAGAGAAGTAAATATTTTCTGTTCACGACTATGTGCAATTCTATTTATGTCATTTAATGTATGCACCCAAATTGTTAGGGTCATTTCTAGTTATTTCATTACAGGTTCATCTGTAATCTTATTAATTTTAGTTTCCTATGGAATACTCAGATTGTTGTATTGATGAGTTTTATTCGGAGACAAATGAGCCGTGTCATGACAAAACCAACATAATGGGTTTGCGACCAGCATGGATCCAGACCAGCCTGCGCATCCGCGCAGTCTGATCAGGATCCATGCTGTTCACTGTCAGTTTCTCCACTTGTAATAAAGTTGGTAAGCGAACAGCATGGATCCTGATCAGACTGCGCGGATGTGCAGGCTGGTCTGGATCCATGCTGGTCGCAAATCCATTATGTTGGTTTTGTCATGACGCGGCTCAAATGGATGTTATAAAGAATTCATTCTGCATACAAATTCCACATTCCTCAAAGCAGCACGTCTCCAGATTCATGCTAATTTTCGTGAAAATTTGGAAAACATATTTAAAAGTAAAATATTGTAAAGTGAACAAAGAAAGTAATATATGCATTGCAAATGGCACTAACAATCAAATAAATTACCTAAAAGAAAAAGGGGTCAAAATTTGCAAATATAGCACTTTACTGCTTAACTCATCAGACATTTGAAATATTGTAATTGATTACTAGAGTCTTGAATCTTTTTGACTTTTCTTTAAATCTTATTACACCTTTCTCAAGTTTGATTTTTTAAAAATATTTTGGGTCATCTGGAGACATGCAACTTTTAGGAATTACTCAAACTCTCAGAAAAATTATGGGCTTAATGACTTTCATTTGTAATGTAAAAACCTTGTTTTATGACAATTTCCTGTCATTTCTATTTTTTCTATGTAATAATTTGTCAGTACATGTATTAAGAAAAACTGTAACATTTTAAACAACTCCAAAAAAAAAAGAAAGAAAAAGAAATGACGTTTTTTAAACAACTCAAAAAAAAGGAAAGAAAAAAAAATGACGTAAAGCAACTGTAGCTGTTTACATGGCTTTTTTTTTGTAGCATCTAACATCTAACTACTAGTAACTTAGTATTGACCTACATTTTGTTGGTGCATATGCGATAGATGCGGCGTCTAAATAAAAAATAAGTAAACATGCAATTGAATAATCTGAACTAGACTGTCAGAATATTTTCAAATTTAGGCTTCCTCCTTGGTCATTAAAACAGGGGCAAAGTCCATGTTAGTACAGAGGCAATTTTATGCATGCACCAGTTAATTTCATAAAGAAACAATATGAGCCGCGTCACGACAAAAACAATGTCATAAAAATAGGCAAAATAAACACATATGAGCCGTGCCATGACAAAACAAACATAATGGGTTTGTGTCCAGCATGGATCCAGACCAGCCTGCACATCCGCGCAGGCTGATCAGGATCCATGCTGTTCGCTATCAGTTTCTCTACTTAAAAAGGGTTGGTAAGCAAACAGCATGGATCCTGATCAGACTGCGCGGATGTGCAGGCTGGTTTGGATCCATGCTGGTCACAAACCCATTATGTTGGTTTTGTCATGGCACGGCTCATATGTGTTTATTTCGCCTATTTTTAGAAATGTTAGAATGCTACCATTGCAAGGACCCAGGAAGAAGGGATTGTATGGGTCTTCCAGACGGGAGAGGCGTGTGTATATGTCTCGAACTTGAAAAACCTAAAAGACATTTAGGACAGCCACCGTTAATCTGCTATTATAAAGTTTACAAAGAAGGTAAGTACATGTACTTAATATAATTCTAATTGAATTTCTTGTGAAAATATTTTCAGAGTTTTTTATGCTTAAATTGAAATGTAAAAGGATTGTTTATAACAATTTTATTTTATTTTTATTTTATTGTTTATAAACAATTAGTTTGAAAATCTAGAAACGGATATATTATTTACTCAAGTCAGGTAGTGCATGAAAGCTTTGTTTACATGGTATTTTTCCTACATCCTGTTTTTAGTTTTTAATGTAACATTTACATGCAGTTGTTATAAGCTTCTGAAATAAAACAAGTGTGTATGGGGAAAGGGAGAAAATATTATGCAATATTTCTTTGACCATTATCATAATGGTAAAGCAAGTTTTATATTGTTGTTTTTGGAAATGATTATCATCAGGGACTGATATTGGTCTTCACTGGTGGCATTGGTAGAATCTGTTGCTAGCTATAGAATATTAAACAACAGTCAAACCTGTGTTAAAAAACAACCTGTTTATAAAGATTACCCTTCAAATAAAGGTCACTTTTTGATAACCATTCATTGATTAAATGAATTAATATAACCTCAAGATAAAGACCACTTGTCTCTTAAGACCACTGTCTCTCCATTTGAATAGCCTTTGTTTACAGGTTTGAGTGTATATTGAGCTGCTAAGAATATTTCTATCTTGAGATAAAAATCGTACCCAAGTACAAAAATTGCAAGAAAGAATTTTGAAAATTTATGATACAGCTGATGGTGCATGAGTATATCTCTAAACTTTACAGTTTGATCACATTTTGTTTTAGAGAAACAATATAAGTGCAAGTGGAAAAAGTACAAATGTCCTCGTGGAAAGCAATGTATAAACTATGGCCAGTATAAGAATAGACCTTGGGTGGCATGTCAATGTCAGGCTGGAAAATCAAGGGGGAAGCATTGTGATGAAGGTATTCAATTGTATAGAAATCATTTAAAAAGAGAGAGCATTACCTACTGCAAAACAAAGCTCAAAAGCTCATTAAAGAATAAAAAATACCTGCATAATTATCAGGTCCCAAGCAACCTGCATAATAGTTTCAAGCAACAATACAAATACTATTACAAATATGTTTATACTTGGCGATTCAACATTTTTTTGTACATGAGAGGTATTAAGTTAAAATACAATGTACAGTCAGCACTCATTACAACGACACTGTTGGTTCCCAAAGTATATGTCAGTATATCGAATTTGTCAGTATATTGAATTTCATCATTCGTCATGTAATGATATGCTTATTCACTGGCATCTGAGCATTATGTATGTAGATCTATAATAATCATCTATAATGAAAAAAAAATTTATGTTTATGTGATCACTTTATTATTTCGTTTGGTTTTTTTTTGGTTCAAAAGTTAAATTAGTCCGTTGACGTTTAGCTGGAGGTTCTGCAATTATTTTAATAAAAAAGTCACAAGTTGGCAAGTGTTACAAAATTCAGCTGACAACAACACGTTGGTATTGTAATAAGGTGTAACAATCAACTGATCAAGCTACAATACCTCTTTTACACCTTGCGGCTTTTGTTCACGGCTCTATGATATATGCGCTTGACTGACCAAGTGTCAGTTTAACGGGTACTGATTGTATAGAAAATAACAGGTTTGGTTTCCAATTTTATTGTGTCGGAGTCGGAATACGAATTTTCCGTTATAAAGAATTATATAACGTTGGAAAAAATTGGTTCCCACTAATTCACTGTCGTTATTTGAATTTGTCAGTATAATGGATTCCGATGTATTGAGTCCTGACTGTACATAGAAATAATGAAAATACTCAGGTGAGCAATCTAGGGCCAACATAGCTCTCTTTTTTGTAGTTGTAACAAGAATAATTATTTTACTTTATTTAAATTCCTGTGATAAAACATATTAATTGAAAGTTCTATATTTTAGGTTTTAGGGAAAGCACACCAAGTGGGAGGTTCTATTGTGTAGATACATTGATTTATGGTCCTATTTGTATGTGTAGACAATATGATACAAAAGATAAATATGGCTTTTGTATTCCCAAAATTGCTAAAAGTGCTGGATATAAACTAATTCAAGATGAAAACACAGCACTAATTCAACCTGGTAAGTGTTTTACAATTTGTTTGAAACAAGTCTGCAAAGATTTTTTTTGATTTAAGGGTATTTTTGGTGTTGTTGTTGTTGTTTGTTTTGTTTTTGTTTTTTTTGTTTTTTTTTAAAAACCTGCCAACCTTTTATGACAATATATATTTGTACTGTGTCCACGTATAGTTTGTAGAGTTAAATGAAACATAACCTATCTACTTTGTGTTTTTACAAAGAGACTGTGTTGCAATTATCAATACTTTTAAATATATCAGATTTGATCATACTATATAACTTTACTATTATTTTATCGTCTTTCTTTGGAAGAATTGTAACATTTTCTGTTTTAGGCTCTGTGTGTGATAACAAAAATATATGCAATGGAGGGACATGTATAGAATTGTCAAGCAAGCAAAATCCTAATTTTGCATTTATGTGCTCATGCCCAGTTGGGAAAATTGGAAATCTTTGTCAAAGAGGTAAGTGCGTTGTTTCTGTTCCACTGACAATGTAATCAATATTTCTAAGCTGTGATCATTTCTAGTGATCTTGTTGTGATAATCTGAACAAATTTTTCTAACAAGAAAGAAGACTGACTTTGGCAGTATGACATTAGCCATGTATGCAAGGTTGCTTGTCACAGAAGGACCTAAAAAAGTAAAAGAAATGGTTGATTCAGTGGATTTTTTTTTTTGTGCACTGTCCTTCAACCTTTTAACCCTGATATATATTTAAATAAGACATTTGCTGTTGCTTACATTTGACACGATATGGTATGTTTTCTAGTATTTTGGACTTCTTGATTTATTTTTAGCTCACCTGAGCTTGCTCAGGGTGAGCTATTAGGATTGGTGAATGTCCGTCGTCCGTCATATGTCCACAATTGCTTGTGAACACTCTAGCGGTCACATTTTTGAACCAATCATCATCAAACTTTGTCAGGATGCTTGTTTAGTCAATTGCTTGGATGAGTTCGAACATGGGTCATCTCCGATGAAAATCTAGGTCACAGGAGCTATAAATAGAAAAACCTTGTGAACACTCTAGCGGTCACATTTTTGAACCAAACATCATCAAACTTGGTCAGAATGCTTGTCTAGTCAATTGCTTGGATGAGTTCGAACATGGGTCATCTCTGATGAAAAACTAGGTCACTGGAGCTAAAAATAGAAAAACCTTGTTACCACTCTAGTGGTCACAATTTTGACTTAATTGTCATCAAAATTGGTCAGGAAACTTGTCTAAGTCATTGCTGGAAATAAATTGAACATGGGTCATCTCGGATGAAAAAGTAGGTCACCGGAGCTAAAAATAGAAAAATCTTGTTAACACTCTAGTGGCTACTGTTGTGATTCAAATATTCTGTTAATTGGTCTGAAAGTTTGTTTTGATGATTTCTAAGTCAAGTTCGAACATGGGTCATCTTGGATGAAAAACTAGGTCACACCGCCCAAATATGGAAAAACCTTGTTAACATTCTAGTGGTTACATTTTCGACTCAATTATCATCAAACTTGGTCAGGATACTTGTCTAGGTAATTGCTTGGATGAGTTCGAAATCGCATGTGGAACTAGGTCACCGGAGCTAAAAATAGAAAAATCTTGTTAACACTCTAGTTGCTACTGTTTTGATCCAAGTATCCTGGAAATTGGTGTGAAAGTTTGTTTTGATGATTTCTAGGTCAAGTTTGAATATGTGTCACCTGGGTAAAAAACTAGGTCGCACTGCTCAAATATGGATAATCCTTGTTAACACTATAGTGGTCACATTTTTAGCTCGACTTTTCTATGAAAAGGGGAGCTATCCTACTCGCCCCGGCGTCGGCGTTGGCGTCACACCTTGGTTAAGTTTTTCGTACCACCCCACTTTATTTCAGAAGTATTACAAGTATGGCTTTGAAACTTACCATACTTGTTCACCATCATAACCTCCATCTACAGACAAGAGTACATAACTCTGTCAAGGTTTTTGACAGAATTATGGCCCTTTTTTGACTTAGAAAGTGTATTGAGCTTGGTTAAGTTTTTTGTACCACCTCACTTTATTTCAAAACCATTGGAGGTATTGCTTTGAAACTGACCATACTTGTTTACCATCACGACCTTCATCAACAGACAAGAGGACATAACTCTGTCAAGGTTTTTGACAGAATTATGCCCCTTTTTGACTTAGAAAATACATTGAATATGGGTAAAATCCACTTATTGCCTTAACCCTTTGAGATATTGCTTTGAAACTTTTAATGCTATTTCACATCATTACCCCCATCTGTACGCAAGAGAAGGTAACTCTGTCAAGGATTTGTTTTAAAAATTAAGGCCTTTTATCGACTTAGAATCTTGGTTAAGTTTTTAGTACCAGTCCACTTTTTGACTGAACTGTTTGAGATATTAATTTGAAAGTTGGAATACTTGTTTACAATCATGATTCCCAAACATGTCCAGGAGAAGGTAATTCTGTCAAAGATTTTATTTGAATTATGGCCCTTAACTGTCAATGTTTTGTATTATAGGCAAGCACTAAAAAACTTAAAAAATCTAAAAAAATTCATTCCTATCCACTTGTTCACTTTACCATAAATTATGTCATAATAAAATAATTCTTCACTAAATATCTTAATGCTCATGGCCATTGTTCACTTTAAAAATACAGAGATTCTTGTATTGCCTTTTACTGCAAAAACTTTTTTTATTGGCAAGCAATAAAAAAGTCGAGCGCGCTGTCTTACGAACAGCTCTTGTTAACTCACCTGTCATGAGACTTGGTCAGAATGCTTGTCTAGGTAATTGTTTGGATGAGTTTGATAAGTCAGGTGAGCGATCTAGGGCCATCATGGCCCTCTTGTTTGTGGTTATTATCAACTAAACTTGTTTGAAATCAGGAAAATTTGATGAAATACATCCTAATACAAATGTAGTTTTAGTTGTGTCAGCAAGTTTGAGTCTATGGTAAAAAAAAATGTGTTAAAGGGACTCCACTGAAGTTTTTCTACATTACAAAACTGAAAATAATTTTTGAGATTAATTTTCTATTTGATGTAGGTGTTGACAAATATCTTGCGTGCAATATTTCAGATCAGATCAATATGTTATAAAAATACATCAAAATTTCATTCATCTCTAATTTTGTTTGTGTGAAAGAAATGAGCCGCGTCACGACAAAACCAACATAATGGGTTTGGGACCAGCATTGATCAAGACCAGCCTGCGCATCCGCGCAGTCTGATCAGGATCCATGCTGTTCGCTATCAGTTTCCCTACTTGTAATAGGGTTGGTAAGCGAACAGCATGGATCCTGATCAGACTGTGCGGATGCGCAGGCTGGTCTGGATCCATGCTGGTCGCAAACCCATTATGTTGGTTTTGTCATGACACGGCTCAAATGTAATTCTATATTGTAGAAATGTTAGAATGTTACCATTGCAAGGACCCAGGAAGAAGAGATTGTATTGGGTTTCCAGATGGCACTGCTGTGTGTATATGTTTAGAGTTAGAAAAACGTAAAAGACATTTAGGAAAGACACCTTTAATGTGTTATTATAAAGTGTTTCATAAAAGTAAGTAACAATGTGAATAAAATAAGTAGTTTACATATTTGAGTGAATTTAGATATTAAAAGATGCCATCCATGAAGGTCAAGGTCATTCTTTAAGGTCAATTGTAAAAAAAAGTCAGCATTTTGTGTTCACTTCATAACTTTTAATTTTAATGATTTTTTTTTAAATAGCACAAATAATCATTATTATGAGATAATGTGCTGAGCTTAAAAAATGAGGTTGCTTTCCCAAGGTCAAGGTCACACTTCAAGGCAAACTATATAAAGTCCACATTTTGTGTCCATTCCATTATCTTAAACTACTCAAAAGGTTTTAAAATCGCTTTGAACAAATGATCACCGTTATAATGATGTACAGAGTGCAAAAACCAGGTTGCTTTTTCCAAGTTCAAGGTCACACTTTAAGGTCGGTCAAAGGTTAAATATTTTACTTTAGCAGGGGATATAGCCTTCCTCTTCAGACTGCCTTGTTTTATCTGCCTTACACAGTTATTTGTCATTGATGTAGACATTGACCAGTTGCTTTTATAGCAAAATATTTACTTATTTATTAATTTGTTTCTTTGTTTTTCTCTTTATTGAAATTTCGACCACTTAGACCTATACAAAGCAAAATTTGATCTTGGCTGAAACTTTGACCCAGTGACCTATTACTTTCATGCAACAAATTATTACCTTACCAAGCATTGGATATTAGAAGAGTAATGTAAGATCAGCTCACAATTTCTATTCACACATTCCTTTGTCAAATTGATTAAAACATACAAAGTAAGCAAGCTTTTTACTACTATTCTTGCATGTCCTTTCAGATAAACAAGGAACGTGTAAGAAGCCCAAGTACAAGTGTCCTCGAGGAAAGAAATGTATAGACTACGCCCAGCATAAAAATAGACCTTGGGCGGCGTGTCAATGTCAGGCTGGAAAATTACGAGGGAAACATTGTGAAGATGGTACTTTATTTTATTTTTTTTATATAGTAAATGCACAATCAGTTAAACTAAAGCATATGTACACAGCAGTATTTCCATCTTTTGTGTAGAACATAACTCTTAAGTCAATATTACGTTTTGGTATACTACTTAATAATACTCTGATAACAAAGGGGTACAAGGAGGGGATTTGCAACAGTAATTGTAAGTGGCAGTTTAATTAACCTTCGATGTTTTTTAAAACTGGAACACAAAGTGATAAGCCTTTGCCAATAGTAAAGATCCAGGACATCCCGCTGTTCTTTGCAATCTAACCAGGCTCAATACTGTTGGTAACTTAATTTTTGTATTTTGTTATTAAAATTCCTTGAAATTGAAATGGACTGCTCACTAGTCGAACTATAATACAAATTTAGCAAGTTTAAAAGGCCGGTTACAGTAACAGGATTTTATATGTAATCACGTTCACTATAAGTGTTTAAAGCATTTTTTGTAAAGATTATAATATAATGCCTTTATATTTTATGCAATATTTATTATATACATTCATCACATACTTTAGCTGCTTTTGTGACTGTGTAAATTTTGTATTGCATGGCCATGTATATACAGTTGTATTTTGAAGTTATGCCATTTGCATGTAAAGATGCAGTATATATTAGCATTACACTGTGAAAAAATGATTCTTTTTCCTGTAAATCTTTGTAATTTTGGATATGTGATAAATAAGATATTATGTATATTTGTTTAGCTTCTTTACTAAATTTATTGAACTTATTGACTAAAATAAAATTATGCTTGCCAAAATGTCACATAATATAGTTTTATTTAAGTCGTTTGACAATAAATTTAGTATTGAGCCTACACACATTCAATTTCCTCTATGTATTAGTGCTTGAAATTTGTCTTATTATAGATTACAAACGAGATGTACCAAGTGGAAGGCATTATTGTGCTGACACGGTGCTTTATGGCCCTATTTGCATGTGCAGAAAATACAATACGAAAGATAAATTTGGCTTTTGTATACCAAAAGTGTCAGAAAAGGCTGGATATAAATTAATTCAAAGTGACATGTCAGCACTGATAAAAGCTGGTAGGTGTGAAATAATTTTACCAAAAGATCCGACTTTGATTCCTAAAAAAAAGTTATGCTGCATATCAAGTACCTTGTCCATAAATTTATGTAATTTCCTAATCATTCCTGAAATAATATGGTAAATATTTTGATAAAAGAAAATTTGTCTTCATGTTTGATCAATTTTATTGTATAAGTTTAATTAGTTGTAATTGCCATTTCATCATGATGGGTGAAATTGTGGTGAATTTGGTTCACCTGATCATGTCTTAAATGATGTTTGTGAGTTATTCTAGAATACTCCAAAAATATAAGCAAATGCAGATTTAATTGTCTTCTGTTAATTGTCTTCAAGTCAAATTTCAAAATTTGTTATGAAAAATGTTTTTACTTATCAACAAACTAACTTAAACTTTTGATAAAAAATGTTTCCGGCTTTACCTATGAGGAAGACCTCAGGTGCCCCTCTGTACATTATTTCAGGCACAAACTGGCACCTTAGTAGGACCAACGATGTTTCGTAAGCTAGCTTGATAGCTTTCTCACATGATGAAACTGAAGACGCTAGCTGGGCTTGAAAGTTCAGCTGTGGGTGACAAGTGGTTTAAAGTCAATAGTGTTTACCACCCAGCCATGGACGTCCCTTCCTTTCTAGAATTTTTTCTAGATACACACTACAATTTTATTTTTTGTTGTTTTTAGGACCTGTGTGTGACTCAGAAAAGGATGTATGCAATGGAGGAACTTGTATAGAATTATCAAGCAAACAACAGCTGACCTCTTCTTTTATGTGCTCATGCCCTGTTGGGAAAACTGGAAAGTTTTGTCAAAAAAGTAAATATCATCCATCACATGTGCCTAGTTATGCTCCCACTTCAAAGAAATGCTTTGCATTTGTCGGTCTGTAGGTCCATAGACCAAATGGTTTCCGAGTGATAACTAAAGAACCCTTAGGCCTATAAAGTTCAAACATGGTATGGTGATTGGTCATGACTATTAGATGACCCCTATTGATTTTGGGGTCAAGGGGTCAAAGGTCAAGGTCACATTGACCTTGTAGGTAAAAACGGTTTCCGATCAAAAACTAAAGAACCCTTAGGCCTAGGAACTTCAAACTTGGTATGGTGATTGGTCATGACCAGTAGGTGACCCCTATTGATTTTGAGATAAAAGGGGTCAAAGGTCAAGGTCACATTGACCTTGTAGGTTAAAACAGTTTCAGATCAATAATTAAAGAACGCTTAGGCCTAGAAACTTCAAACTTGGTATGGTGATTGGTCATGACAAGTAGATGACCCTATTGATTTTGGGTCAAGGGGTCAAAGGTAAAGGTCACAATGACCTTGTAGGTAAAAATGGTTTCTGATCAATAACTAAAGAATGCTTAGAACTTGGTATGGTGATTCTTCATGACCAGTAGATGACCCCTATTGATTAAGGGGTCAAGGTCACTTTGACCTTTAAGTAAAAACGGTTTCCAATCAATATCTTAAGAACCCTTAGGCCTAGGAACTTCAAACTTGGTAGGGTGATTGGTCATGACCAGTAGATGACCCCTATTGATTTTGGGGTCAAAGGTCACTGTCACATTGACCTTGTAGGTAAAAACAGTTTCCGATCAATAACTTAAGAACGCTGAGGCCTAGGATTTTCAAACTTGGTATGATGATTGGTCATGACCAGCAAATGAACCCTATTGATTTTGGGGTCAAGGGGTCAAAGGTCAAGGTCACATTTACTTAAAGTTAAAAATGGTTTCCACTCTATACCTAAAGGACCCTTAGGCCTAGGAACTTCAAACTTGGTATGGTGATTAGTTATGACTAGTAGTTGACCCCTATTGCTTTTGGGGTCAAAGGTCAAGATCACATTGACCTTGTAAGTAAAAATGGTTTCAGATAAATAATAAAAAAATGCTTTGGTCAAGGAACTTCAAACTTTATATGACGATTGGCCATGACCAGTAGATGACCCCTATTGATTTTGGGGTCAAAGGTCAAGGTCACAACCAAAGTAATCAAAGCACAGAAGGTGCTGAATTTGTTTGGGTCTCAGAATGTAAGAAAAGTACAGGTTGTGAGATTATAGTGCCACCAATGCTTTCCAGCGTTTTAATTGTAGTAAATTGGCTATTAGACTTATTGCAACACTGATATTCAATCCAATGTTTATTTGACTTAAACAATTTGAAAAAAAAATGAGTTTTCCTTTACTGGAATTTGGACTCCAGACCTCTCGCTTCCTAAGCGAGTGCGAAAACCCCTCAGCCACGGTGAATTTATGTGTGAACGGCCTGAAGAAAACCATATTATTCTAAATTAGGGCTTGTAACGACTTTAACTGTTGTTTAACACAGATGTAAATAATCCTGGAGCTTACTATAAGCATGTATATTTATAAAGAATCAAAGGGCTGCAAGTTCTGTGGTATTTTCTGATCTTTGCAATCTAAATCGTACTGTATATCTGTATGTATTTTCCTGAATAAGTTTATTTTTATGTACTATAATTCATCTCGCAAGGCACCAGAGTTTGATACATACGGAATTTGCATAACTAGAGTTGCATCAAAAAATCATTTATGTTCATTTTTTACGACAGCCACACTTTATCCTTGCATATCATGACTACTTCCTTAACAAAGACTCTTAAAAAAGAATTTAAAAAAAAAGTTTCCTCGACTGGGATTTGAACTCCAGACCTCTCACTCACTAAGCGAGCGCGTTACCCCTGCACCACGGAGAAGTTATACAAACCGTCTGAATAACATCAAGTCATTCTAAATTTAGAACTTCCATTGCATTTCGGTTTGTAATCCTTATTAATTACGAGGTATTTTGTTCTGGATAAACCTGTTGTTTAAAATTGAAGTAAATAATTTAGCTAAAACCTTCTCGCCTAAACAGTCCGACATGTAGAATCTATATATTCCACTACTCCGTTTGTGTAGTATTCGGTAATTGACATCGCTAAACTTAGTATTTTCATTGATAAAATCATATTCATCCGCGTAATTTGTGTTTGTGCATTTATTGACAATTCTATAAGCCAACGCTATTCTTAAACTTTGAATGCGTTGTAATTTGTTGGATACTTGTAACAAAATAAAAGTATTTCTTTCTTTTAAATCGTTAGTTTTAAGCTGTTTTGAGAACTACTTGTTGTTAGGTTTTTCGTGAAACTTCTGTGTCAGAGATTGAATGTCCACTTTGTATTTACTTATTTTCGATCAGAAAATACAATAAAACAATATTAGAAATCTTCGACCATTCGGGAATTATTTTGCTTGAAAATTAATGCGTCTGTCTTTGACCATCTTTACGCAGTGATTTCCCCTGAATTTTTCGGCGTTAGTGGACATATAAAGGGAAGTAACCGCTTCAAAAAAGTGGACTGCTTTCGGCATTTGCAATTAACAGCATTAGACTCTGAAATTTCGCTACCATTATTTGTTTGGTCTGACGACCCAAACAAATAAAAATGGTTTCCGATCAATAACTAAAGAACACTTAGGCCTAGGAACTTCAAACTTTATATGATGATTGGTCATGACCAGTAGATGACCCTTATTGATTTTGGGGTCAAGGGGTCAGTGTCAAATTGACCTTGTACTTTAAGATGGTTCTGACCAATAACTCAACAAGTCAAGTTGCCTTGGTAGATATTTTTATATTAAGCTAAAAATGCTTTTGGTATACACATTTGAAGGTCTTATGTAATATAACAACTTGGCTGTCATTAATGAGGCCTACATAATTCATTAAATTTATGCATATTTTATTTGGTAAGATTTGTAATAACTTAAATTGCTACACACAACCTATAGGGTCACAATAATTATTACCTTGTGACTAGTCATGACGAGTAGATAACCATTATTAATTTTTTGTTCACTGGGTCAGAAGTCATCGATAATAACCTGATCACATGACTAATTGGCTGCCCATAGGGGGCATACAAGTTTTACAAACATATCTTGTTTTATACAGTATTTGTTTTAGTTGGATTGTGTAAGTAGACTCTGGAATCTGTTCCTGGAACCAATCAGTATTGAGCAATGAGTTTTAAACTTCCTTTTCAATGAGACAATAGCTAAATGATAACTGGGTTTAAACCAATGCAAACAGCAATCTTAAAATTACTAGTCCAACTTGTGATTGGGTGGTGTGTCTGTCTGCATGTATTTAGGTTCTTCCTGTTATCCTTGTTTTATTAAGAACTTGGGAAGGTATAACCCATCATTTATGTAATGACATGTAGGTATGGCCAATGGAAGACCTATATTGGGTGACAGTGATTCTGTGCAAAACCCTTGCCTGCTTAATAACTTGAGAAGAAGTAAGTTTGTAACCAATGCCCAGTAGGTGACCCTATTTATTTTGTGGTCATTATTCAGTGGTCATAGTGACAATTTGTGTAAATTCTTTGTCAGATCTTTTTCTTGAGAAAGGAAAAGCTTTAGTGTGTTCAGCTTAGAAGGAACATTGCCAATGGCCAGTAGATGACCCCAACCAATTTATCAAGGTCAAAGATCAAGGTCACAGTAATATTGTAAAAGTTTTGTGTCTGATCAAAACTTGTGAAGTAATAAGACTAAGTTTGTTTATCTTTCTAGGGACATTACCAATTGCAGTAGGTTACTTCTATTGATTTTGAGGTAATTAGGTTAAGGTCATTGTGACCTTGATGTTAAATCCTCATCTAATCAATAACTAGAGTTTCCTCAGTGAACATTAGTAGCTTTAATTCTATTATTATATTATATATATTTCTTACTTATATGTCAATTGACCTTTATGAAATATGCATAAATATTACAAATGCAAAGGGGGGAATATTCAGTGTCTTATGGACACAGAACACATTTCTAGTGCTTTTGTCATTTGTAAATGATAGAAGAATACGATTCTGTACTCCACCCTACTGACATTTTTCAAGGAATTTCTGTGAACCTACTATTGTTTATAGTCTAGTTTTTATGCCACCGCAGCATCTGCGATGCGGTGGCATATAGCGATTCACCTGTGTGTATGTATGTGTGTGTGTTTGTTTGTTTGTGTGTGTGTGTGTTACATAGATTATATAGTGAACTTAAAAAATCTTCTTGTGAAAAATCACTAGTCCAATTTCAACCAAACTTGGCAGAATTGATCCTTGGGTGAAGGGCTTCCAAAGTTGTTCAAAGAATTTCATTCCATGCAGAAATCTTGTTGCCATGGCAACCAAATGGATTTATAAGAATAAATTTAAAAAACCTTGTAAAGATCCAAAAGGCCTAGAGCTTACATATTTTGCATAGGGCATTGTCTGGTAGACCTCTACCAAGATTGTTCAAATTATAGCCCTGGGGTCAAAATCGGCCCGCCCCGGGGGGTCATTGATTTTCACTATATATACATATAGTAAAAACATAAAATACCTTCCTGTAAAGACCATTAAGGCCTAGAGCTTAGATATTTTGCATAAGGCATTGTCTGGTAGACCTCTACCCAAATTGTTCAAATTATAGCCCTGGGGTTAAAATCGGCCCGCCCCGGGGGTCATTGGTTTTCCTTATATGTATATAGTAAAAACTTTAAAAAAATTTCTTCTAGCAATTGACAAATGCTAGAGGTTAGATATTTTGCATGAAACATTGTGAAGTGAACTTCTAGCCAGATTGTTCAAATTATAGCCCTGGGGTGAATATTGCCCCCGCCCCGGGGGTCATTAATTTTCAATATATATCCCCGTACTGCCTCTTTCCGATGAGCTAACAGATTTTTCAACAATAACTGACAGTGAAATTATATATAAAAAAAATTCTCTGTCAATTCTGTGAATATTATCATTTCAGCTAATAAATGCACCAACTTTTTAAAATTTTACTTGAATTATTACTATGAATCGAGGACAAATCATTACTGACCCATTTTCCTGTTCTTCAAAATTTCACAACCACTTTTCAATCAGTTAACAAAATATTACCTGTATCACATAAAAATTGTCAGACAATGTTAAAATATAATTAGTTCTGTATTTTGGAGAAATTTTGACAAACTCAACTTCAGATAAATGGTAATAAACAATTTTAACCTAATTATAATGCCCTTTTTATACGCCCGTTTGAAAAACGGGACGTATTATGGGAACGCCCCTGGCGGGCTGGCGGGCGGGCGGGTGGCGTCCAATTTTGTCCGGAGCATATCTCCTACATGTATGGAGGGATTTTAATGAAACTTCATAGAAATGTTCACCACTATGAGGAGCAGTGTCGCACACATGAACCAGGTCTCTAGGTCAAAGGTCAAGGTCACACTTAGAGCTCATTGAAAAATGCTTGTCCGGAGCAAAACTTCCACATGTATAGAGGGATTTCAATATTACTTGGCACAAATGTTCACCATTGTGAGGCGGAGTGTCGCGTGCAAGATTCAGGTCCTTGCGGCCAAGGTCAAGGTCACACATAGAGGTCAAAGTTCAGATAAAAATATGAAGATGTGTATATGGACCATTTAGTCATCATTTATTGAGGGATTGTAACACAAATGGTCATTATCAAGACTATGGCTGTGATACATATAATTTAGGTCAATATATACAAGGTCAAGGTCACTAAAGATGATGAAATATCCAGATTTTGTAAATAGAATTTAATCAAAGGGCGACAACAAAGTTATTACTTTGTTCATAAATGACTTACACAATTACTCCCCTTGATCTACTTTCACTTTCAATTCTTAAAATAGAATTTAATCAAAGGCATAAAATAATCCTCTTTCTTGGACTTGAGTAATGTTCTAAAGAATGTAACATTTATTTACACATGTTTCATTCATTGGTCAAGATTCTTAACTGTGATAACTATGGTGTTCTGTAGACTTGGTATTTGTTTCATAAAGATCATACAGTAATTACCTTATCAATGTAAATACTTTCTCATAGAAATTTAATTATATTTTAATTTTCAAGTAAATATCAGTTCAGCTCTCCTACATGTATGGAGGGATTTTCATGAAACTTCATAGAAATGTTCACCACTATGAGGAGCAGTGTCGCGCACATGAACCAGGTCTCTAGGTCAAAGGTCAAGGTCACACTTGGAGCTCATTGAAAAATGCTTGTCCGGAGCAAAACTTCCACATGTATAGAGGGATTTCAATATTACTTGGCACAAATGTTCACCATTGTGAGGCGGAGTGTCGCGCGCAAAGATTCAGGTCCTTGCGGCCAAGGTCAAGGTCACACATAGAGGTCAAAGTTTCGATATAAAAATATGAAGATGTGTATAGGGACGATTTAATCATCATTTTATTGAGGGATTGTAACACAAATGGTCATTATCATGACTACGGCTGTGACACATGTACTTTAGGTCAATATATGCAAGGTCAAGGTCACTAAAGATGGTGAAATATCCAGATTTTGTCTGGAGCATATCTCCTACATGTATGGAAGAATTTTTATAATACTTTATGGAAATGTTCACCACCATGATATGTATTGCTCCATGCATGATCCAGGTCTCCAGGTCAAAAATCAAGGTCACACTTAGAGCTCATTGAAAAACGCTTGTCCGGAGCAAAACTTCTACATTCATAGGGGGATTTCAATATAACTTGGCACAAATGTTCACCATTGTGAGGCTGAGTGTCGCATGCAAAATTCAGATCCCTACGACCAAAGTCAATGTTACACATAGAGGTCAAAGTTCAGATAAAAATTTGAAGATGTGTATAGGGACCATTTAGTCATCATTTATTGATGGATTGTAGCACAAATGGTAACTATCATGACTACAGGTGTGACACATTTAATTTAGGTTAATATTTGCAAGGTCAAGGTCACTGGAGATGATTAAATATCCAGATGTTGTCCGGAGCATATTTTCTACATGCATGGAGGAATTTTAATGTTACTTTATAGAATTGTTCACCACCATGAGACGTAGTGCCCTGCACTTGAACCAAGTCTCTAGGTCAAAGGTGAAGGTCACAGTTAGAGCTCATAGAAAAACGCTTGTCTGGCGCAAAACTTCTACATGCATAGAGGGATTTCAATATAATTTGGCACAAATGTTCATCATTGTGAGGCTAAGTGCCGTGCATAAAATTCAGGTCCCTGCGACCAAGGTCAAGGTCACACATCCTGTGCATATCTTCCCTACTGATTTGTTTTAAGGTTCATTTAACAACACAGTGCCAAGAATAAAAACTTGCTTGCTAGATAACACTTATCCATAATGCCCCAATCTCCATCTAAAGCTTTCGTAAACGGGCGTATTTTGTGACTATGGCACCCTTGTTCAATCTAGATATCTATTTGCAGTGGTAAAGCTGTCACAATTGGGGTATGGATGTACATTTCAATTTGCATAACAGATAATGCATGTTCTTGTGAAATCTTTAGGATCTAAGGGTCTATATGACCCCATTCTAGTGACTGCTTACTGAAAAGTTATCACAGAGAATGTTTTTCCTTGGTTAAGTGACTGTTACTTTACTGATGTATTACCTTCCAATTAAGAACTGTATGGTAAAATATGTACATATTAAAATTACAGCTTTTGAAGTGCAGTATATATTATGAATTCATGATATTGAAACAGTTGTCCAACTTAGTATCCATTTCTGCAGACTGACAAAAAACTGAGTCTGTAAATCAATTATTTTTAGAAAATTATTGCTATTTGTAACTTGGAAAATAAAGGATTAGTGGAAAACACACATTTTACATATTTTGAACTAAAATGCTAGCATTTTCTTTTTTTATCGCCATAAGTGACATTGCTGCTGATAAATTTAGTCAAGGTGAATACAAGATGTTCTTACAGTTTGGTTACATGACAAATAAGGTCAAAAATAAAAAATTTCTAGGGATGATTGAAAAGTGGTTGTGATTGAAAACTGGCAGTATGTGGATACATATAGTAAAAAATAAAAAAATCTTATGGTCTGAAGGTACAAGGCCTAGAGCTTTAATATTTGTTAAATGATATCATCTATAGGTACTCTACCAAAGTTGTTCAAATTTTGCCTCTAGTGTCAAAATTAGCCCTGCCCCAGGGGCCATAGGTTTTCCTTATATGTATATAGTAAAAACTCATCTTCTCTAAATTTACAAAGGCTAGAGTTAAGATATTTTTCATGAAACATTATGTAGTGAACTTCTAGCAAGATTATAGCCCTGGGGTCAAAATTGGCCTGGCCCCACCCTCAGGGGTCATTGATTTTCACTATGTACATATAGTAAAAAATTAAAAAATCTTTTTGTCTGAAGGTACAAGGCTTAGAGCTTTGATATTTGGTATATAATATCATCTATGGGTCCTCTACTAAAGTTGTTTTAATTATGCCCCTAGTGTTAAAATTGCCCTGCCCCACAGGCGATTAGTTTTCCTTAAATGTATAAAGTAAAAACTTGAAAAATCTTCTTCTCTGAATTGAAAAATCTTCTTCTCTGAATTGACAAAGGCTAGAGGTTAAATATATGGCATAAGACTTTGCGAAGTGAACCTTTACCAAGATTGTTCAAATTATAGCCCTGGGGTCAAAATTGGTCCCGCCCCGGGGTCATTGATTTTCATTATGTACATATAGTAAAAAAATAAAAAATAATTTTGTCTGAAGGTACAAGGCATAGAGCTTTGATGTTTGCTATATAATATCATCTATAGGTCCTCTACCAAAGTTGTTCAAATTTTTCCCCTGGTGTCAAAATTGGCCCTGCCCGGGGGCAGTGATTCTCATTATGTACACATAGTAAAAACAGAAAATAAAACAAATGTTTTCTGAATGGGAGAAAGCTACAACTTAGATATTTGACTTGAAATGTTGCTTGGTGGACTGTATCAAGATTGTTTTGAATTAAATCCTTGGGTCCAAAATTTTGCCTTGCCCAAGGGGACAGTGACCTACTTTCTTGTCCTTTGATGTACAGCAATGAAGTTTTGACCATGTGCACAGTTTTAGTTGTAAAATTGAACTTTGATATCAGGTGACCAACATTTTGATGATGTGACCTACTTTCTTGTCCTTTGATGTACAGCTATGAAATTTGAACCATGTGCACAGATTAAGATGTAAAGTGAACTTTGATTTCAGCTGACCTAGATTTTTACAAAGTGTCTTACTGTGTTGTCCTTTGATGTAGTCATAAAATTTAGGCTGTGTGAAATATGACCTTCACCACCAAATTCACTAGACTCGAGTGCATTGATATATTCCTTCTCTGATCTTTTATTGAGTTAACAACAGATTTAACCACTAATCTGATATTAAGAATTAGATAGGTCAGGGATCTATACATTATGACAATCTTCAAAATTGTATAGAAACAAAAAAAAATCTGTTCCTACACTACTATTTAGTGTTGTATTAATGCGGTGGCATAGCATTTTTCTCAAATGCAATCTTGTTTGACAATTCATGTTGTTTGTTTATATATAAAACCATTGTAATGGAAATCCATAATTTACTTACTTTGAATATAATAATCTTTTAGAAACAACATCCTGTTATAAACCCCTTTTTTGCATGCTGAATGTCACAGTGAACATTTTTATTTGGTTCTAGGAATGTTAGAATGTTTCCATTGCAAGATCAAGGGACGGACAAGCTGCATTGGCCTACCAGATGGCACTGCTGTTTGTGTATGTCTAGAATTAGAGAACCGCAAAAAACATTTAGGAAAACCCCCATTAGTGTGCTATTATAAAATGTTCAAAGAACGTAAGTAAATATTTATTACATGCTTTTCGGTGGTTTATAGAAATATATCAGTGAAATATAAAACCGATAATTTCACTGTTTAAACTGTCACCGTCACTGAAATTATCAATTTGATAATTTCACTGTTTTGAATTTAAACCCCTGTTTGAGTGAAATACCAGCGTGCACAGTGCTTGGAACCAACTTAATGACGTGACGTTGTAAATGACGTCATGTTGTATTATTTTTTGGCGCGCATTTCATTGAGTATTAGTTTATATTTCTTTAAAAACATTTTTTTGTGCCCCCACTTTAGTGGCGGGCATTTAGATTTATCCCTGTCCGTAGTTCCAACCGTTCGTCCGTCCTTCCATCCTTTCCTTCTCTTTTGTGTCGCACGTAACTCAAAAAGTATTTGACCTTGAGTCATGAAACTTTACAGGAATGTTGATCAGCATGTGTAGTTGTGCACCTAAGTATTTTCCTCTCGATATTTTTAGAGTTATTGCCCTTGACTTAGTAAAATTTTGCAATTTTAAACTTGTGTCGCATGTAGCTCAAAAAGTATTTGACCTAGAGTCATGAAACTTTACAGGATTGTTCATCAGCATGTGTAGTTGTGCACCTTGGTATTTTTGTCTGGATATTTTTAGTATTTTTAGAGTTATTGCCCTTGACTAAGTAAAATTTTGCAATTTTCAACTTGTGTCGCATGTAACTCAAAAAGGATTTGACCTAGAGTCATGAAACTTTACAGGAATGTTGATCAGCATGTGAAATTATGCACCTGGGTATTTTTTGCCTGGATTTATTTAGTATTTTTAGAGTTACTGCCCTTGACTTAGTAAAATTTTGCAATTTTCAACTTGTGTCGCATGTAACTCAAAAAGCATTTGACCTAGAGTCATAAAACTTTACAGGAATGTTGATCAGCATGTGTAATTATGCACCTGGGTATTTTTTGTCTGGATTTATTCAGTATTTTTAGAGTTACTGCCCTTGACTTAGTAAAATTTTGCAATTTTCAACTTGTGTCGCATGTAACTCAAAAAGGATTTGACATAGAGTCATGAAACTTTACAGGAATATTGATCAGCATGTGTAGTTGTGCACCTGGGTATTTTCGTCTGGATTTATTTAGTTTTTTTAGAGTTATTGCCCTTGACTTAGAAATTTTTTGCAATTTTCAACTTGTGTCGCATGTAACTCAAAAAGGATTTGACATAGAGTCATTAAACCTTATGGGAAGGTTGCTCAGCATATTTAGTTTTGCACCTGGGGTTTCGCTTGAGGATTTATCCAGTATTTGTAGAGTTATTTCCCTTGACTTAGTAAAAACCTTTTCATTATGTTGTTATTTGTTCCTTGTGTGCTTGAGTTAGAATCAACCAACTTTACAGGAATAATGATCAACATCACTAAATTACAGGAGTAATGATTCACATCACTGTGAAGCTATGAACCTGGGACTTTGCATGTGGATTTTTTTTCAGTTTTGTTAGAGTTATTGCCCTTGACTTACAGTAGTATAAATTTGCAATTTTCAACTTGTTCATGCATAGCTCAAAAAGTATTTCACTTGTAGGCCTGAAAGTTTACAAGAATGTTGGTCAGCATGTGAACTTATGCACCTTGGGGTTTGTTTGTGGATTTATTCAGTATTTGTAAAGTTCTTGCCCTTTACTTTTTAGTTTTCAAAAAATATTTGACCTAGAGTCATAAGATTGACAGAACAGTGGCGCGGTGGGGGCACCGGTGTCCTATGGACACATTTCTCGTTTTAGGATCAAATGTTATGATATATACCTCTTTGTATTGCACCAGTCAAATGTAACAATGTTTCAATCGTTAACAAACCCTAGAGAAGATTAGTTGAATAGCTGGAGAAATTCAGAGTGGGAGTGCAAACATATAAGCTGCATCACGACAAGACCAACATAGTGCGATTGCGACCAGCATGGATCCAGACCAGCCTGCGCATCCGCGCAGTCTGATCAGGATCCATGCTGTTGGCTGATCAACCCTATTACAAGTAGAGAAACTGATAGCGAACAGCATGAATCCTGATCAGATGCGCAGTCAGGTCTGGATCCATGCTGGTCGCAAACGCATTGCGTTGGTTTTGTCGTGACACGGCTTAATTATTACTTTTTATGCCCCCGGGCATATAGTAATTGAACTGCCCGTCTGTCCGTCTGTTCATTTGAGATTAACCTAGAACGGCAAGTTGGATTTTTCTTAAGTTCTACCTGTACCAATGGCTTCTAAGTTTACACACTTACTAATCAATACAAAGTACATGATCTGGGCAAGTTACATAACTCTGGCTTTCATATTTACCAAGTTATTGCCCTTTTCAGCACTTAGAAAATGAATAATGGTTAACCTAAAGCGGCAAGTTGGAAATATCTTAAGTTCTATCTATACTAATGGCTTTATAATTTCCACACTTACTTATCAATACAAAGTACATGATATTGCCAAGTTATATAACTGTGTCATCCATATTTCCCACTTATTTCCTCTTTTTCACTTTGAAATAGGGCCTTGTCTGGGTTAACCTATTTCCGCAAGTTGGATTTATCTTAAATTTCTCCTAATTGCTTTATTTCTTCAATGATATCTTTCATATTTAGTAGGTGGATACCTTTGATGGTCCTCTAATTTTTTGTGGAGTAAGCGGTCTCTAGGGTCAAGGTCACTGGTTTAAAAAATAAATATAAACATTTTTGCTCATACAGCTTTTATTTTTTAGTTGATGTCTTAGTTTAATACAAACATGCCAAGGGAGGTCTTCTTTCTTTGGGTGTAGTATAGATTTTTACATTTTTACAGGTGTATTGACCTTATTCTATAGACAGATGTTATTTATAATTGATAGAAACATAAACTTTGATGGAGTTAGTGGTCAGTTGGGTCAAGGTCACCAGTGCTAAAAATAGATTTTTACACATTTGCTCATACAGCCTTTATGATGTGACAGATATATTTTATATTTGGTAGGAAGATAACTTGCATGGAATTCATCCTTTTTGATTGGGGTAGGGATCAGTGGGTCAAGGTCACTTGTGCTAAAAAATAGATTTTTACACTTTTGCCCATACAGCTTTTATTTATGTGACAGATGTATTTCATATTGGTAGGAAGATAACTTGCATGGTATTCTTGCTTTGATGGAGTAAGGGGTCAGTTGGGTCATTTATGAAATATAGGAGCTTTGATTATTGTTACGCTAGTACCTGCGACAAATAGGTTGATTCTAGAAACTAAGACGGCAGATAATTAATATTTTCATTACTATGTTATTGAGGCCATTATTTCCGTAATTTTCCCTTGTGTAGTGGTATGAATGACGATTTTAATCAGTCTATTAGTTTAGACATAAGAAGAATCCCCAAATTTAGAGCTATTAAAATCATTAAAACTGATTTGTGGACATTTGCAGAATCGCCATAATCTGGTTTTATTTTTGTTTTCATAGTGTTCTATCGTTGTGTTTGTTTAGATATTATAACGGTCAATGCATAGAGAAATATGTAGTATATAATATTACAAAATAGGTAAGAAGACAATATTGATTATTTTCTGGGAACTTTTGTTGCTAAAAGTAAAGCGTATCTATTGACCCAGTGAGCTAATTTCCTTCCCAAAATAGATTATATATCAATCTATAAAACTCATATATGATAATGTATCATATCAACAGTAATATTTGTTTATTTAGCTACATTTTAAGGTCACTATTTATATCATAGTTACATTTTATAACTTTCATACTATGACATGGTAAACCTGGATCTAACAATCCGTTTCTTAATATAATTCGTTTGTGGGTACCTTGATGGTCGCCTGATCCCAAATGTTGAGTTATATAATGCAAGATATTTCCACCTGCATTAACATTCAAACTCTGCCTGATACGTCTCATACCCTGTGTCATCTTGTGATTGTTAAAATCAATGCGGCACGTCTGTGAAATATAGGTCTTGGTCAGCTGGGAATATCTTGGTATGTACTATCAGGCCTATGATTGATACGTGCTAACCAGTGAACATAAATTACTTATAAATGCATGTGTGCGGAACTATCATGGAGCAAAATATCGACAACAGGACCTGCGTCAATAACTAAGTTGAAACTGCTTAAAGAAAACCGAAACAAAACAACTTAAAATGAATCAAATCAAATAGTTGTGATACGCTCAAAAAATATCGTTATATTAAAGTTTGACAGGCATTGCAAATTTTATACAGTACTGACCTCAAATACTGATTTCATTATACTTCGACAAACTGATCTTATCACTCCATAAGAAAATTACTTTTCAAATGTATCAGACCCAAATGATATCTTGAAATAGTCTTACTCTATGTAAACATGGTTAATTCGTAAAATATCGAAATGCCAAATAAAAAGATAGAATTATTAAAACATAGACTCTCTTTTATGTCTGGAATTTCTACAAAATCTATTCTACACATTTTGCTATTGTCGCGAATCTTTGAAAATTAATTCACTATTTTATCTTTTTATATCAATTATTTCTTTATGCTTATCAGGACATTTCATTAATAAAGACATATAACACCATGGAAAATGTATTGCTAGCAGCATGATACGTAATTACATGTATCTAAATGTCAAAAATTAACCAATGTCAATGAACAAAATAAAACTGAAACATTTTTAAAAACAAGGTGGTGTATTATTGACACGGCAGGATGTTTTTGTCCAAATAGCGGGATTGAAAACTTTTAATCCTTTATACGTATTTACGGTATGTGTGATTTAAAATTTTTTTATTGTTAATTGGAATAATGTATCAATAGAAAAAATATTAGTGGCCACAGATATAATGTGGCGTTGCTGAAGAACGGAGGACCTTAAAACAATCATTGTATATGACACTTATATTGTTAAACTTAATATCATCGACAATACAATCACCATTCCGCCTATATGCTTATTTACGCGGCGGGGGGTATGACATCCCGCATACACAAACCACTTTTATCTAGACA